ATTCTGTATACATTGGACGGTTAATGGGTGGGCACTCTTCTGGTTCAGACATCTGTAATACCACTGTTGTCCATTGCTGGTTAACACCCAGGCGGGTTACAGGTGGATGTTGCAAACAATACCGTGGAGGATGTCTGTGCATGTTTCTGAAGGATTCTTGCCTACAGAGGAGTTGTGTGCATACCTGGCCCACGCCCAGCACACAGCTTTCCCTGGGGTTTTCACTTTCCTGACTTTAGGTGAATTTGAGAGCATGCTTTTCTGACTAAGTGAATAAGTACTTGAAAAAATAAAACACATATGAACAGTTTAACAGTAGCTGTTAAGCTGGGATTCCCTTTTTCCTCCTTCCCCTAAACACATGTGCATGTTTGGCTATGGTTCTAGTGCAGTGACTGAGACTTGCCTGTCTCTGGGCCTGATGTGGGCACATCTCCTTGTGCTCCCAGATCTGCTTTACATATCCCAGCTCCCCAGCTGACTGGCAGTTGGGAGATGTGCTGGCTGCACAGGTGGTATGACTGGGACCTGGGAGATAGAGTGAAGTTGTGTCTTAGTTACCTGTAGACAGGGAGCTCACATGAAGTGTAAGTGAAATACTTCTGGAGGAGGCTGTGATCTGTAGCTGGAGGTGGCTCTGCTGTTCATAAGGTGCTTGTGTTTCTTTTGATGAGGTTTTGGGTCTCTGAGGGTTCACCTTTATCTATATAAAGGTTTGGAAATGGACAGAATTCCAAATGCAAGAAAAATTGCTGACTTTCAGAGCTCAACTAGAACTTGAGAACCAAATGTTGTACTCTCATTTGGGCTGGGCAGGCAACGTGGATACTTCCCAGTCTCTTCAGAGTAGAGCAACACCAGGAGACCTGACATTCACTCGGCTTTGCTTTGTTTGTGGGGACTTCCTTGTATATTAAGACTGAATCTGTTCTCTTGAGCAATTATGGTAGCTGCACAGCCTCACCTATGTAAGTGATGGCTTTTGACTTCTATCCATGAGGTTGGTTGGGCTTTGCCTTTCTAGTTCTGAAAAAAGAAGGAAATTAAAATTTTTGCATTAGTATAAATGAAGTAGGAGGACTCTAGTTCTGCTATGGCAGGGTGATGCCACCAGGGCCTAGCTCCTGCTCATCACAGCTAGGACCCAGACAGAATGCCAAAAGCAAACACTGAGACCTCTGGAAACAAAGCAGGCCGACACTGAGGATCAGCCTAGGGATCACCCATGAGGGGCTTCCTGGGGCTGGGCTTTTCTTCTGCCTCATGGCTGCACTCTGAACGAAGTGCATTCACAGTGCTGGCTACAGATTGTTGGGAGTCTCAGAGAACCAGAGAAAGGGCCTGGGGAGGGTCAGGGGGGTGAGTACTGGGCACATGGATCCACTTATTTGGGAACACATGAGTCTCAGGTCGGGCCCCAAACAGCAGGGCAGTGGCTCTGAAAGTTGCATTTGATTCACATCTCACTCTGAATCTCAGCCGAATTCCCACGTGGCATGTGCAGAGCAGAGCAAAGCATCAGAACCCAGACTTTACAAATATACAGGTTGGGAGTATATTTACTTACTTACACGTAGGACTGTGGTCTGAACCTAACGAATCTAATAGTCTTCTACCACACAACTGGAGCTCAGCCACATTGGTGATGGCACCCACACACCTGAACCCAGTCCCGTTGGTGATGGCACCCACACAAGCAGTCTGAATACAAATGAGAATCTGAATGGAAATTCCAAAATCCAACTGTATACTGTCTATAAGAAGTGTACTTTATATAAAAAGACTTAGATATATTAAAAAGAAAGAGTTAAGCCAGGTATGGTGGTGCTCACTCATAATCTCATACTTAGGATGCTGATACAGAAGAATTGCAAGTGTGAGTCCAGCCTGGGAATATCATCCAGGAATACTACCAAGGAGAAGAGGGACATCTCCCATCTAGAAGAAAGAACAAGCCGGGAACAGTGGCATCCACCCATAATCCCCCCCACTCAGAAATCTGAGGGAGCAGGATTGCAAGTTTGAGGCCAGCCTCAGTAACTTAGCCAGACTATCTCAAAAAATAAAAAGGGCTAGGGATGTAGCTTAGGAGTAAGGTGTCCCTGAGTTCAATCTCCAGTACCACCAAAAAAAAAAAAAAAAAAAAAAAAAAAAGGAGAGAAATCGGGAAAACTAGAAAATATTTTAACTGAATGGAAATGAAAATACAACATATCAAAGTTTATAACCGTAAATTCTTGTATTAGAAAATAAAATCAACCTCAGATTAATTATATGAGCTTCTCTCTAGAGAATCTAGGTAAGAACCCAAAGCAGTGGCATACACCTGTAATCCCAGCAACTTGGGAAGCTGAGGCAGGAGGATCACAAGACCCTGTCTCAAAAAGTAAAAAGGACTAGGGATGTGACTCAGTGGTAGAGTTCCCTTGGGTTCAATCCCCAGTAATCCCCTGCCATCCAACCCCCCAAAAAGGAAAAAAGAATCTAGGAAAGAAGAGAAAATGAAACTGAAATCAAACAGAAAGGAAATAATGAAGAGCAGAACTCAATGAGATTAAAAACGGAAAACAATATGGTCAATAGCATTGTTTCCTGGAAAACAGCTCTAAAATGCACATATCAATGAAGAAAGAGAAGATCGAAGCTGGGACGTCCTAAACGGAAGAGGAGACAGCTCTATAGATTGAAGGAAGGGAAAATGTGAATCTCATGCCCACAAAGTCAACAACTAAATGAAATCAAATTCCTTGAATTCTCTCTAGCAGAGAATATCTGAATATCATATATATGAAAAAAAGTCAGATTTTTTTGCTAAACGCTTTGTCATCAGGAACATTCCAGACCTGAATGGCTTCACTGGAGACTTCCACTGACATAACATTTACGGAAATAATGCTGATTTCACACAGACTCACAGAAAAGTGAGGAGGTGGGACTGGTTCCAAACTCATCTTTTAAGGCCAGAATTGCCTTGATACAAAGACAGACATTATGAGAAAAGAAAATTGCAGACCAGTATCTCCTGAACTGAGACACAAATATCCTCAACCAAAAATTGGAAACTTGAGTCCAGCAGCACCTGGGGAAGGGTGCTGCATCATAATGGAGTGGGTGTTACCAATGCCAAGATTTTGGAATACCCCAACAACAGACTCAGGAAAAAAAAATGATCATCTTAGGATATGCAAAAGAAGCCTTTGACAAAAGCCAGAATCCCTTCATGATGTGAGATGTGGAAACATCTCAAGGAGGAGGGAGCATCCTGACCCTGAGGCCAGCCTTAGTGGGAGGCCAGGGACTGGCCAGGCAGCTGTCCTCTTCACTGCTCTGAGCATCCTGGTGGAGGGCTCCCCAGGGTGGCAAGGAGGAAAAGGAAAAGCAGAAGGGCTGGAGCGGAGGCCAAGCCACTGCCTTACAGGCAAGGAGACCATCTTGATGGAGAGTTCTGTGATATCCTCAGCACACAAGAGCAGCTACAGCCTGTGTCTCAGCAGTGAGCAGTTGGCAGTAAACAGCATTTGTGATAGGTAGTACTAAAAAACATGAAATATTTAAAAGATGTGCAGGGTTATATTGCTGAAAATTGACTTTATGAAGGAAATAGAGAAATGTACTGTTTTCATGGTTTGAAAAACTTGATATTACTGAGAAGGCAAATCTTCCCAAATTACCCAACATAATTTTGTCCAAATTTTGGCAGCGTGTTTTGTAGAAAAAGCTGAGCATGGTGCGCACACCTATAACCCCAGCTGCTCAGGAGCTGGGGGCAAAAGGATCATAAGTTTGAGCCCACCCTGAACAATCTAGTGAGACTTCGTTGTGAGACCTTATCTAAAAAATTAAAAAATACATAAGAGGGCTGGGGTTTAGCTCAATGGTAGAATGTTTGTCTAGCATATAAGAGGTCCTGGATTCCATCTCCAACACAAATAAGAAAAAAAAACTGATTATAAAATTATATGGAAAGACAAAGAAACTAATAGCTAAAATAACTTGAAGAATAGGAGTTTGGGGGTACAGCTTATTGGTGGAACATCTGTCTAGCATACATGAGCTGGGTTCACTCCCCGGCCCTGCAAAAAAAGAAAGGGAAAGTGAAATCAGAAATTAAGGTTCACACTGCTTATGTTTTGAGACCCGTGATAAAACCATAGTAGACTAGGTGTGTGCTCATGTAACACAGATCTGTAGCGTGGACAGGCAAAGTAGAGACAGACACTCGGAGGCAGTTTCAGAGGCAGTTTCTATGTCCCCCCTGAGCTCATGTGGGCATTTCATCCTCAAAGCCTCACGTCAGTGATGTTATGAGGTGGGAAGATAGCCCCACTGTGGTATTGAGAGGTGGGCTTTGAGAAGTGACTAGACTAGATAGGGTCATCAGAATGATTTGATCTTTACCAAAATTAGTAAGTTTACTAAAATTAGTAAATTTTAGTAAAGATCAGAATTGATCTTTACTAAAATTAAAATCATCTCTACAAGTCATAGTGAATAGGATAGAAAATCAGGCCTCAGACTGGAAGAAAATATTTGCAAACATATTTGATAAGGACTTGTATCCAGAATACACAAGAAACTCTCAAAATAAATAATAAGAAACAACAAAAATAGACAAAGGCTAAGCGTGGTGATACACGCCTGTAATTGCAGTCACTTGGGAGGCAGGAGAATCACATGCTCAAGCCAGCTTGGGAAACTTAGCAAGGTCCTGTCTTGAAATAAAAATAAAAAGGGCTGAGGATGATGCTCAGTGGTAGAGCACTTGCCCAGCATGCTTGAGGCCCTGGGTTTGATCCTCAGTATTCCCCCTCCCCCAACTTCTGCCAACACACAGAGAAATGTCTGTGTGTTAGTACCCAAAACAGCACTGTCCATGGTCCAGACTAGGAGGAGCTTGGAGTTCTGCAAAAAGGAGCCAGAGCAGGACCACAAGGGTCTTGGTAATTCCCCAGGAGCTGTGCTGTGTTCCTGGTGTGGGACTGACTGAGCTGTTGTTACAGGGTCACACTGCACCTTACAAAACAGTCTCTGCTCGAGCAGCGGCCCCATCCACCATCCTTCGGCTTCCAGCTGTGGCTTTTCAAGGAGTTTTTGAGAAATATCCTGAAACACTGGTGAGGGTGGTACAGGTGAGTCACTTTTTGGCTATCTCAGACATGGGGCCTGGGAACTACCATGAGGTTTGATTAGGGTTATTCCCAGTTTATGGAGTCAGTTCTGAGTTGTTGGTAGATCCAGAAAATGGTGGGATTCATAGGACCTAGTGATTTTTTGTTTTTTTTTGCAGTACTGGGAATCAAACCAAGAACCTCATATATTCTGGGCAACTGCTCTACCACTGAGCTACAATCCCAGCCCTTTTTATTTTATTTTTTTCAAGACAGGGCCTTGCTAAGTTGCTGAGGCAGGCCTGGAACTTGTGATCCTTCTGTCTTAGGCTCCCAAGTGGTTAGGATTACAAGTGTGCATCACCATGCCCAGCTATAACTAAGGCTGTTTTTGTAATGTGTGTGTGTGTGTGTGTGTGTGTGTGTGTGTGTGTGTGTATATATATATATATAAATATTCTTTTAGTTGTAGGTGGACACAATACCTTTTCATTTAAGTGGTGCTGAGGATTGAACCCAGGGCTTCACACATGTGAGATGAGTGCTCTGCCACTGAGTCCCAGCCCCAGCCCCTGTAATGTGTATTGTACAATAAAAATTAATTAATTTTCATGATTTTGCAAGTTCCAGGCCAGCCTCAGCTGTCTCAGAGTAAAAAATAAAAAGGGCTGGGAGTATGGCTTAGTGGTAAAGTACCCCTGGTTTAATTCTCAATACTGGGGGTAGGGGAAGAGGTCTTTAGATTTTCCAGATTTCCTATTCCCTCCAAAAGTTTTTTTTATTTTTTATTTTTTAGTTGTAGATGGAGACAATACCTTTATTTTATTTATTCTTATATGGTGCTGAGGATCGAACCCAGTGACCTACACGTGATAGGCGAGCACTCTACCACTGAGCCACCACCCCAGCTCCCAAAAGATATTTTTAATTAAAAATTAAATACCTCATTTTAGAGTAATTTTAGATTTATAGAAAACTTACAAAAACAATGCAAATCCTGTGTGCCCCTCCACCCCATTTCCCATAAGAGCCTCCTATGACCAGCGGGCTGGCTGGGGGAGGGGGTTGGGTCCTGGGAGATCAGGTGTGTCAGCTTGGGCCAGCCTCCAGCCCGTGGCTGCTCATTCCCTCACCCTCTCACTGCAGATCATCATGGTGAGGCTGCAGAGGGTGACATTCCTGGCTCTGTACAACTACCTGGGCCTGACCACAGAGCTGTTCAATCCCGTGAGTACACAGTGCCTGCAGAAGACACATCAGCACAGCGGTGACCATGCCAGTTCAGGTCCTCAGCTTTGGAGTTTGGGACTGATGATGTGTTGGGCTTGCCTTTCTGCTTCAGGCCTGTAGCAATGCACCGGGTTGATTCCTGGGAGTCAGGAACATTTATTAGGACCTGGGGTGCAGCTGGGCTCCTTCTCAGATCTGGAGCTCATCTCGCCTGGCACTGAGCCTGGGTAGAGGCTTTCCTCTCTCCCTGTCTACAGCTGCAAACCTGCCTAGGGCACAGAGGCTATCTGCTGAGCTGTCGTTCCTTCTGCACTTGTCCCTCAGGCCACTCTTGCTAGCCCCTGGCTCTGTGTCCTGCCCTTAACTGATACTTAGCTGGGATGGGTTTGGAGGGAACCAAGCATTGCTAGGAGCACAAGGCTCGCCCACATCCTCATGTGACCCTGGTCAGACACTTATTCTGTGAGAAGGGGCAAGACTAGTTTCCACCTGGTAGAGCTCTTGTGAGCTGCATTCCTTGCTCTTTCCCTAAATGTTAGAACAACACCAGAACCTAGAGGGCAAAGGACACTCAGAAGGTACTGTGAAGTCCCCAGAATTTCTGGTATTAAGGGCTCAGTATATGTGCATTGTTACTATTCTCATGTCATCTGGGTGTCCTCCCTAGTCCCAATGATTTTTTAGGGTTTGTCATCTTCAATTACTGGTGTTTTAGGGAATACCCTTTTGGGTTTTGTAATTTTTCCTCTTCGTGAAGAGCATTACAGTTTCTGGGCTATGATTTTGACTTACGTCAAAGGCAGAGCCTAAAAGGAGAGCAGGCTGAACTGCCACTGCCTTATAGAACCAGCCTTTGGGCGTGTCTAGTACTGGGATGTATCAACATGTCCTTCAGGGTCCTTTCAGTGGAATGCTTGTGGGGACTGAGTACCGCTGATATTCCTTCTTATGCCCCAGGAGAGCCAGGCCATCCCTCTTGTGTCTGTAGCCAGTGTGGCTTCCGGACGGACCAAAAGGCAGGTGTTTTGTGGCACAGAGGAGCGTCTTGAGAAACCTCCACAGCCCCAAGATCCTTGCACCTCAGGTATGGTCCCCATCCAGGGAGAGGGGCTCTCACCTTGAAGGCCAGGGGTTTCTCTCTTCCACTGCCTAGATTCTCACGTGCCCAGTTACCTCATGAATACCCAGGTCTCCTCCTCCTCTGCACCCAGGTCTACTCCCCTGTGCCCAGGTCTACTCCCCTGTGCCCATGTATCCTCCCCTGCACCTAGGTCTCCTCCCCTGCACCCAGGTCTCCTCCCCTGCACCCAGGTCTCCTGCCCTACACCTGGGTCTCCTTGCCTATTCCCAGGTCTCTTCCCCTGCACCCAGGTCTCCTGCTCTGGGTCCAGGTCTCCTGCCCTGCACCCAGGTCTCTTGTCTCTCATTCCTTTATTGTTCCTCTAGGTTTCCCTGTAAAGGAGTTTCCCAGGGGAAGCTTTATATGCAGAGCAGGTTCACAGCCTTGTGCTCTGGCTCAAGAGTAGGTTGAATCTGGGGACTAAATTGTCCAGTGAGGCCTGTACTGTGTGGGACATCTATAGGTGACCTATGCTATGGTGTTACCATAGAGCCACCTTGACAGTGAGGGGGTATGCTCTTTGTATTTTTATAAATCATCATATTCTCAAAAGGGTTTCCAGTAGCTAACAAAAGTCTGTTGAATTAAAACATATTTGGGGTGAATGTGGGCTGGAATGCAAAGGCTCCCTCTCATATGCTGCAGAGACCCTGAAAGTCCAAGGCCTGGCCCTGCTACCAGCTGATCTTCCTTGGGCAAGGCCAAGACCTAGCTCCAGCCAACTTACCTTTCCCCAGAAATGTGTCTTGGAATAGGTGTTCGTTAAGTCTTTGTACCTGAGTAGCACTTATCTCTCCTGTACTGTTGGTCATTATGAAGCAAAAGCCTTGGGACTCATCCTCCTGAAGGTGCTTGGTGCAGGGTAGCAGTCCTGAGTGAGGCCTTTGCAGAGACCAAGGTGGTGAGGGTCATAGCCCTCTGCAAAACAGGCTGAGGCAGACTGCAAGGCTGGGAGCTTTGCTGTAGCACTGCAGCCAAGATTCACCCCAGGTGTGCTCAGGGGCCACAGCAAAGGGAAAGCAGCAGCTCCATTGGAACTCAGGCAGCAGTAGGGACAGTCAGTTCAGGAGACCCTCACAGTGGTTGGCAAGGAAGGACATGGGATTGGGGGAGCCCAGCAGGACCAATCTGAGGCCAGCATTTTCTTGTCACTCTCCTGGCCGGTGCAGATGGTGAGGTGGCCTGGAAGTTTGTCTGCAGGTGCACAGGGTACTGAGGAGGGCCATGCCTGGGCCGTGCACTGCAGTAGGGACCCTGCACCCTGAGCCCTTCAAGAGCTGGACACTAGGGCATGTGGAGACTGCAGTTGGCTTATATCTATCTCCCCTGCAGATCAAGGGGGCAGCTGTCCAGCAGCCTCTGGGCATTTGCTGAAGAGGAGTTACTCTGTCCCTTTGCCTTATGTCCATGAGGAGGTCTCAGAAAAGTTTGGGCAGTCCCAGGCAAGAGATTCTGCTCTTCCAGGCCCACCAGGTAAAGGACACTGCCACTGTGCTGTCAGCATTGCTCTGTGTATCAGAGGGATCGTCCATGCTGCCCTGTACCTTGTGTTTTCTTGTATAGCCTGAGGAGGTGGGCACCCTGAACTTGGTGCTGTTTATAGATGGACAAGAGCCTAATGGCCCCATGGGGCCTGTGCAGGATTAGGCATTGTCACTGCAGGATTAGGCATCTAGCTCCTGTACACATTGCCTGCACAGTGGGGTCCCCGCATCTGCCTGCTTCCCTCTTCTGTCACTCCTACTGGTCCCTTCCTTGGTAGTAGGCTCTGCTGATGTTCCCACCACAAATCCACATGCTCTGTGTGTTTCCTGGGTTCTTGTTTTTTTACAGCACAGAGCCTGTAGGCTCCTGCGCTTGCTGCTGCCTGTCCTCTCACCTCAGTCTCTCCTTCGCTGGGCTTATTGGATCTCAGGGCAGTCCTCACTGTCCCCATGGCCAGCATGGACACAAGGTGCTCCCTTCTCACTCTTCACTCCTGCTGCCACATATCCCCCATGGAAGCCTGTGCTGGAGCCTCTGCCTGCTGGCACATGCCCACACGGGGGTGCACAACTTTCCATTCTGCTGCCACAAGTCCACCCAGCCCACACCTAGCATGCAGCCCCTCCCACTCCCACCACAGACTCACTTGCATCACCTCCATATTTGCTGTTGGTCATTTGTGGTTAATTGGCAACCTTGGGTCCTCCTGGTTGATCTGAAGGCTGTCAGGATTCCCTCTTAAGAGCTGATGGCTGGAGCTTCAGAGCCCTTTGTCCCCTGGCCTCTGCAGCTGGTGTGTGGATGTTGTGGTTCTTTGTGTGCTGTGGTTCAGATCCCACCTCACTCTAGATGTTTGCAAAGACCTTCTCCCTCCCTCCCTCAGAAGACTGAGCCATGGGGCCCTCTACTCACCAGGAATCTCCTATACTGAAAACCAGCCATTTGACACCTTGCGATTTGTGTTTAGGGTCTTATTCCTTGCTGCTTCCTGGTCATATATTTCTTCTTCTGTCAGCTCCACATCAAGGTGCTTCTTCATCTGTAGTTCACTCTTGGAATGTGAGCCACATGTGTATAGAGGAAGCTCCTTTCTTCACCCCACACAATGCACCCAACACCACCAGAGAATCAATCTTTCATGCTCTCTGGTGTTTTGGTGACCTCGCTTTAGGAGTTAGGTTTCAGAATCTGCATGGATTTTTTTTTAGGTCACAGTTTTATTGAGATGTAGTTCACATGCTACAAAGCCCACCTTAAGAGTGGGCAGCCCAGTGGTTTCAGCATATTCACAATCTGTGCCTTGGTCACCATTCTTACCTTTGGCTACTTACCCAGGCGTTCCCATCATCTAGCCAGGACCTCTCTGGCAGCTACTTCCTTTGACTGCCCAGCCCCAGGCAGCTGTTGGACCTGACTCTGAGTTCCCTGACCTGGATATGTTATTGTGTGGATCTATTTTTAACTTATCTACTATGTACTATTTATTAGTACACTTAAGAGTTTTATCACTAAGTCATTTTTTAATTCTCATTGATTGTTATGGTTGTGTAATATACTTACAGAATGTAAATATCCTAAGTGGATAATTTAATGAAATTTCACAAATTGAACTCTCCTGTGAAGCAAGATAAAGAAACATCAGCCACTGTAAACTGCCATTCAGCAATAACAGGGTGTGGGCTGAGGGCCTCTTCCCACCTCCCCTGTGCTCTAGACTTCAGCACTCGCAGAGTATCAGCTGAGGGCCTTTTTCTACCTTGAATTTCTTCTTTGGAGAGCTGCAGGTACATCTTTTTCTGCATGGCTTTCTAGTTGATCCACCACATTTTAAAGAGCTTGACTGATAGAAACATTTGAATTACCATGTAATGAAATTTGCAAATTATCCAATCCATAAGTATATCTGTTGAAGTCAGTATTTTAGTTTTATGAATCTAATGTATTCACATATTTTATCACTTGGAGTATGTTTAACTTTATAATTTTTGTGTGTATGCACATTTGCGTGTGTGCGTGTGTGTGTGTGTGTGTGTGTGTGTGTGTGTATTTGTTTGGTTTTGGTGCTGGGATTTGTACCCAGGACCACTTTCCCATTGAGTTACATCCCAAGTCCTTTTTTAGTTTTAATTTTGAGACTGGATATTACTAAATTACTGAGGGTCTTGCTAAGTTTCTGAGGCTGGCCTGAAACTTCTGATCCTTCTGCCTCAGTCTCACAAGTCAATGCGATTATGGGTGTGTGCCACCCACCCAACTAAAATTGATATTGGTATCATAATACCTTGGCTAGTTAATTATAATTAATAAATTATAAAAACAAAAGGATTGTAAAATGTAGCACATTATATTGTTTTGTGTGATAGAATGGTGTAATAAATTAATACTGTGAATGCACAATATCTCAGCATGGAAAAAATACTGTTGATTAACCACTGTGCTATTTAAACATTTCAAAACTTCATTGCTTTCATAAGGAAGTGGCTGCACAGGTGGGACTGTACCAGGAATAGCTTGCAGGCCCCTGTCTTCAGGTCTTGACAGTCTGATGGTGTGCATTTCCACTCCCACTGTACTGCGTTCCTTTGGTACAGGGAGGGCTATGTGAAGACATGGCTGCTCTCAGGTGTCATCCTCAACCACAGTGTGGACCCACTGCAAGGCCCGGGCCTTCACAGAGTGCTTGCACAGCTGGAGGGCTTCTCCTTTGGATCATCTCCCCTGGTTCCATCAGCGCAGGGGCCTCTCACTTTCAGAGGGGCACCCTGGAAAGCACAGGGTTTAGGCTCTGAAGTGCCATCTTGGGGTGGCTGTAGAAACTTCTGATTCAGTTTTTCTGAATTTATGGCATTTGTCAGCTTTTGTTTTAAAACTCAGTATTCACACCATTTACAGTTTCTATATAGTCTGAGGACTTTCTTATTTCTTTCTTTTTCCCTTTTTGTGGTGCTTATAAATTGAACCCAGGGCCTCGTGCACTCTAGGCAAGTGCTCTAACCACTAAGCAACACTTCCACCCCCATTTTTTTTTTGGAGACAGGATCTCACTAAGGTGCCCAGGCTGGCCTCAAGCGTTTGACCCACCTCCCTCAGCTAGATCCCGGACGTGGCCACAGCACCTGGCTGGATGCCTGCTTCCTGGGATCAGTGACTGTAACTGTGGGCTCTTCGAGGTCACTTCTTAGCCACGTACTTTACAGAAAGACAAAGTGTGTCGCTGCAGCCTGGCATGCACTTATATGGCTGCCATCAGTGAAGAAGCCACGTGCTTCTCACCTTCCTAGAAAGTCAGTGCCCCTGTCCAGCACAGTGGGCTCTTGTCTGCACACCTGGGTTTTGGGTTGTGTTTTAGGTTAGCACTTTACTAGGCATGAGCAGCACGCACCGAGGCACACAGAATTTGGGTGCAGCTCTGTGATTCTGACTGACTTGCCCCCACACATGGTGTCATCATGGGGCCAAAAAAGGCCTACCCACCCACTTCCCACAGCCTGCTTTCCTCATGGAGTATGCAAGTCCACACTCTGGTTTGGCTGCCAGAGTCACCTGTGAACGGGGTGCAGGGTGCCTTCAGGTGCCTGGTACCTTCCCTGGAAGTGTGTTGTGGATGTCGCTGTGCTGCCTGACCCTGACTAACTACATTTGAACTCACTACATTATATCCTCCTGCTCACGTGAGATGCTGGGCATATAAGGTACAAGTCTTGTTTGTTTGTGGCACTGAGGATTGAACCCAGGGGCACTCAACTCTGAGCCACCTCCCCAGCCCTTTTTGTTTTTTATTTTGAGACAAGGTCTCACTAAGTTGCTTTGGGCCCCCTTAAGTTGCCAAGGCTGGCTTTGAACTTCCGATCCTCCTGCCTCAGCCTCCCAAGTCGCCGGGATTATAGGCGTGTGCCACTGCACCCAGCATTGTGCAAGTCTTAAAACAATCCCAAGGAGTGGGTATTGTAAATTCTAGCTGTTGGACAAGGCCACTGCAGCCTATATGTCACATACATGCACAGCTCACAGGTGTGGGAGGATTGAAACCTAGAAGTGTGTGTGATCCAGAGCTCACATGCTTTGACAGAATCCAGAGATATGATCTGGAGGTCTTCTGACTGGGTATGCAGTAGTGTCTAAATGGTGATTGTGGACCATTGCTGTGTTTCAAATGTGGTGTGGCCCCCAGAGGTCCTTGTGCTGGATTCTTGATCTCCAGTGTGGCTGCGTTGAGGTGGTAGAAGCTTTAAGAGGCAGAACCTTAGGGCTAGGGATGTAGCTTAGGTAGAGTGCTTACCTGGCCGTGGATCCCCAGTACTGAAAAAAGAAAAGAAGAAGATGGGGCCTGCTGGGAGCTGCTTGGGCAGGGGCTGCATGCTCATGAATAGATAAAAGCTGTATGATAGGAGTCGCTCAGGTCTTGAGGAACAGGCTTGGGGGGGGCTGCAGTTGTGGCTCAGTAGTAGAGCACTTGCCTAGCACATGTGAGGCACTGGGTTTGATCCTTAGCACCATATAAAAATTAATAAATAAAACAAAGAGGGCTGGGGACATAGCCCAGTTGGTAGAGTGCTTGCCTCTCATGCACAAGGCCCTGGGTTCAATCCCTGGGTTCAATCCCCAGCACTGCAAAAAAAAAAAAAAAAAAAAAAAAAAAGGTATTGCCACGTGCAATGGCACACACCTGTAATCCCCACAGCTTGGGAAGTTGAGGCAGGAAGATCACGTGAGTGCAAAGCCAGCCTCAGCAATGGCGAGTCTCACTAAGCAACTCAATGAGACTCTGTCTCTAAATAAAATAACAAAATAGGGACAGGGATGAGGTTCGGTGGTTGAGTGTCCCTGAGTTCTTCCCTGGTACACGTGTGTACACACACACACACACACACAAAGGTATGTGTCCATCTACAATAAAAAAATATAGATAGTGTAGAGCAAGATCACCCACACACTTGGTCCCTTTCACCCACAGCTTTGGTGCTGTCTGCTGCTCTGCTGTGCTGTGACACAGCAAGGGAGCCCTCACTAGAGGCTGAGCACATGGGGTTGTCTGATCTTGGACTCCCAGCTTCCAAAACTGTGAGCTGCTCCTTTGTTTTATAAAGAACCAGCCTCAGATGCTCTATTTCAGCAACACAACATGGACCAGGGCAGTCATGAGAAGACCTTGGGCAAAGTGACCCTGCCCTTGAGAGGTCTGAGACTTACTGCCAGGTGTGTGCTGTAGATGTTCAGGGTGCCCTCTGCCTCCCAAAACATGTTTGTACATGGGGGAAGGGTAAGCTGTGAGCTGAATCTCCCCTTTTTGTAGGGGGCCACAATGGGGCGACCTCAGACCTGGGGATGGCATGTGACCGTGCCAGGGTCTGGCTGCACTCAGACCTTCCTGGGAACTCCATGGCCAGCAAGGTAGGTCCCTGCCTCTCCTTTCTCACCCTTCGCCTGGGGCTTGCTCACTGGAACATATCCTGGTTCTCCAAGGTGTCCTTTCTCTGGTGTCACCAGACTCTGTGGTGGACCACCAAGCTAATCCCTCATGCACTGTTCCCCATCACATCTCTTCTGATGGCTGATCTCTTTGTTCTTCTTAAGTCCAAGAAAAACACGATGGGTGCAGAGGTTCCCTCTTCTGTCCTCCACTACTCGGAGTGTCGCTGGGACCCACACGGCTCCAGCGGGAAGACGGACGCTATCTTCCGAGCAGCCAAGGAGGACCTGCTCACCCTGATGAAGCTGGATGTGAGTGCAGCTTAGGGTGGTGGCCAGTCCTTGCCCACACAGCGCCTGCTTCCTGCCTCCCTCCTGGGGATATAGGCCCCTCAGGCTGCATTGGGGGCTACAGATCCTCTTGCCTGTAGCACTCCCCTCCCCGGGCAGGGGTCATGCCTATGGGTGTCCTTCATAAGGACCCACAGAATCACCTTATGGACATGCTGGCTCTGAGCAGCCCGGGCCGGCCCCTGCTGCTGCCCTGCCTCTCCCCAGCTCCAGTTCCCCAGTGGCTGCCTGCTCTAGTGTGCTGCTCAGTGGGGCAGTGTGGGAGTCCTCCATTGTGGCCTTTATGCTTTAGCTTTTTGTGCCTTTTTTATGAAATGCTTCCTCATCTGACTTCATAAAGTCTTTTCTATATTGTTGCCTAAAAGGTTTACTTACTTATTTTGCCTTCCTAGGTTTTAATGTGGTAGAGTTAATTTTCATGTCAATGCAAGGAGGGGCTAGGATTAGAGCCTGCCAGTGAAAGCCTGCTCTTTTGCTTCCTCCTGCGCCTGTCACCTGCACTGTATGGTTTGCTCTGTAGGGCTGGTCTTCAGGAGAAAGGGGAGGGAAGCCTCTTCCCTCTGTGCTTCTGGGCTCTTTCCTGGTCGTCTGCTCAGAGTGGGGGTTTTCCTTGAGTTTTGCCCTCTGCACCCATGGTTCAACACGGCATCCCTTCTGGCTCTGCATTTGGGCCAACCTTGGGAGCTGAGGGAGGAGAGAACAGGAGCTCTCCCTGTCTGCTGGTGCTTGCTGCTGCATCCTCTGGTGGTGGGCTCTGCTCAGAGGGAGAGGGCTCAGGTTTCCTCTGTTGCCTCCTGAATCTTTTGGTGCTAAGGATTGAACCCAGGCCTAAAGCATGCTTGGCATGGCTGTGGCGAGATGCCTTTTGCATCAATCCTGAAGGCCTACTGGGGTTGTGCTCAGAGGGGGAGAGAGTGGGACAAAGCATTCCATGATCTGCTCCTCCCCTCCATGATCTCTTTGTCCTTGTCTTCCCAGTTTCACTGTGATAGAACTTGGTCTGATTTCTTTTTATGGAGCTTGTGTGAACCTCGTTGGGTTTCTTCAGTCTGTGTCTGAGTCCCTTTCAAAAGCTGTCAGCGGCCTGGGGGGGCAGCCCATGGGAGAGTACCTGCCTAGAACTCTTGAGGCCCTGGGTTCCATCTCCAGCACTGCAAAAAAGAAAGAAAGCAAGAAAAGCTGCCCACAGAGACTCCTCATGGCGGAGCCTGGAGAAGATATTCTCTTCTCTTTCATCTCCTTTGAGTTGGCTTCTCTTCTATATTTTCTATTTTTAAAAAAGTCTTTAATATGTAAATATATTCATTTAAGTTCACTAAGTCTCTTCTTGCAGTGTCTAAGTGATCTTAAAGCTATGCATTGAGTTTTAAAATTTCATTATTTTCTGTAGTTCTAGAGTTTCTACATTTAAGAAAAGTCTGCTTCCACTATCATAGTGTTTAGTCTAGCCCACGCTGCATTTCAGATTTGGCTTTGTGTCGGGTAATGTCGCGTATGTCAGTCTCTTCTGTTTTCTCCGAGTCTCTTCTGTTTTCTCCAGTCCCCACTAGTCCTTGCTTGGGGCCCTCTTTCTTGTTGGGCTCACTTTTAGAGACTACTTGGTACATAGAGCTGTGGGACTGGCCTATTGTCCCTGCGTGGCCATCTGCTTTGGCTTGTGCCCCTCCCATGTGCCCAGCAGGTTCTGAAGACTTCAAGGATTATCCTGAAAGACAAAGCTGTTTTGCACATAACCACAGCGTCATTATCCCTCCTGTACACACAGCAGTGATCCTTAACACCTTCAGTCTCTTGGGCAGAGTCCAGATTTCTAGACATCTGGTATATGCTATGAGGACAGTAGAGTCCCCGGGCTGGCTGACCTGTCCCTTGGTCATGGTGGACTCCCTCCCTGTCTGGCCTTCAGACTGCTCCTCCTGTATACTCCAAGGTTCAGGGAAGGCTCCAGGCACCAAGCCTGTATCTGAGCCGGGCCTTGCAGCCTGGCCTTCTGGCTGGTCTTGGGCTGCTTAGGTTCCTTTCCTCCTGACTTCCTGGCCTTGGGGAAGTCATGTAGCAGATGTCCTGCTTTCCTTCAGGAGGCCTGTGATGTCGGATCTTTCTTTGTGGGGAAGTTAGCAGTCTTTTTTTTTTTTTTTTTTTTTTAGAAAGAGTGAGAGAGAGAGAGGGGGACAGAGAGAGAGAGAATTTTAACATTTATTTATTTTTTCTTAGTTCTCGGCGGATACAACATCTTCGTTTGTATGTGGTGCTGAGGATTCGAACCCGGGCCACACGCACGCTGGGCGAGCGCGCTACCGCTTGAGCCACATCCCCAGCCCCAAAATTAGCAGTCTTTGAGGCACAGAGAAGGACCCTTTACTGGCTTTGGAGGCTTGATTTTTAAATTTGTGGTTTTTTGTGGTGCTGGGATCAAACCCTGAGACTTGCCTATGCTGAGCACATGCTCCAGTGCCAAGCTGCAGTCCCCACCCACTGGAAGGTGAGGTTATTGATGTAGCCCCTGTTACCTAAAGGCAACCAATAAGCTTTCTTCTTACTTTTGTTCACTAAGACTGGGGATATGGAGTCTTCAGACCTCCCCAACCTCTGCCTGTATTGCTGAAGGCCTGTCCTGTGGGCTCCTAGGCACTCTAGACCCTTCCCCGTCACCTGGAGGCTATAGAGATTCTAGGCACTGATCCACATGTCCTCTGTGGGAGTTAGCCTCTGCAGGTGGTATGGGGAAGTGGCCTCACTCAGTTAATTATGTTCTGTAGTTGTTGGTTTGTTTTTGCATTTTGTTTTTGAGTTTAGGTCTTTCTTTGCTGGGGCTGGTCTGGATTTGTGGGTACAAATGATCCTCCTATCTCAGCCTCCTGAGTAGCTGGGGCTACAAGTGCGTGCCACCATACCTGGCAGTTTACTAGTTTTTACTGCAGAGGTGGGCTTGAAGTAAGTATGGAAGGACACTCCTCCATTATCTTTTATGCCAGGGATCTTTATGGAATTGATTGCACTTTCTTACTGAGATAAAATTCTCTCTCTAGAAATCTACAAAAATGCTGGTCTCCATTCCTTCACTTTCTACTGTCTTCCTCTGATCCTTTCTGCAAAATGCTCTTGTGTCTGTTGGATTTGTGCTAGTGCAGTCTTGGAGGAGCGTTTTGTCTGGAATAGCCGAGTGGATGGCTACCTCTGGCCTGCACTGCATGGCCCCATCCTTAATGCCTTCACTTGAGAGCCTCTGCATGTCCCTTGAAACCTGTTGTGTTTTTTAGGACCCATCCCTATTAGATGGCCGGGTAGAGTTTCTCCATGTCCCTGCAGGCACCGTGGTGTCAAGACAGGGAGACCAGGTGAGCCCAGGGGGTTTGTTGTGAGGATTGCCCAGCACTAGGTGGACCATGGAGGAGAGAGGCTGGACTGGGCAGCATCCAGCACTGGACCACTACCAGCTCTCCTTGGGTAGCCCAGAGCCTGGGGGCAACCTCTTACTCAGATGGGGGAAGGGAGAGCAGATTTGGGAAGAGCCCCTTGCTGGATGCAGAGGAGCTAGGATTAGATCTCAGTGGTTTGTTGGACCAAAATGGGTGTGACAAGTGCCTGTGACAGAGGTAGGAGGGGCCAAGTGTTGGCCCACATGGGCTACTGAGGCAGGGCTGTACTTGCCCACCTCAGGTTTTACAGAGAGAGGTTGCATCTCCACTTCTGTAGGAAAATTGGGCTGACACATGTGGAGCAGTAAGTGGAAAGACAACAGGAGGGAAGGTACATGCATCTGCAACCCCAAAAGCTAGGTTTCCTGTGACCCATCTAAACAATAAAATCAGCACTGCTGGAAGTTCCTCGTGGGGCATGGGCCCAGGGCTAGCTTGGTCCACAGATGATGCAGAGGCAGCAACAGACAGAGAAGCACCCTTATGCAGCTTCCTGGGGCCTGGCCAACCCCAGAGGAGCCTCCCCTGGGCCCTGGGCCCTGGGTCCTTGGGCCTCCCAGACTCTGCCCTGCATCTCTCTGAAGCTCTGGTCCCCTCTGGTTTTACTAGGATGTCAACATCTTGTTTGTGGTCTCGGGGCTGCTGCACGTGTACCAACAGAAGATTGACAGCCAGGAGGATACCTGCCTGTTCCTCACGCACCCTGGAGAGATGGTGGGCCAGCTGGCAGTGCTCACAGGAGAGCCCCTTATGTTCACCATCAGGGCCAACAGGGATTGCAGCTTCTTGTCCATCTCCAAGGCCCACTTCTATGAGTGAGTAATCCCCGCAACCCACCGTTCCCCCTCCCTCCTGCTCACTCATCTGCCTCTGGGCCCTCTGCCCCTGAGGACTGTGCAGGGCAGGCTCGCTGGTCATCCTGCGTGAGTTCTTGGAGCTGCTGCCATGCTGGGTGGTTGCATGTGCAGGTGCCAAGAGCACCTTACCAGCCTGCGGAAACTGCTGTGTGCTGTCTTCTCTGCCTGTGGTGCTGACCCCACTGCCTTTCTCCCACCCACACCAGGGCCCTGCTCAGGGCCAGGGTTGTGCTGCTGCTTTTGCCTGCTCATGCTTAGACCAGTTTTGGCTACAGAGAGAGGGCCAAGGGAAAGAGTGGGTTATGTTGTACAGGCACCAGGCTGGACACCTTGTCTACCTAATCAGCATTCTGTCCTCCAGACCTAGTGATGTCCTCAGACTGCCTGGGAGTCCTGCATCATGTCCCTTACTAGCCAAGTCATCGGAAGGGCTGTCTGGCAGGGAAGCCACTTTCTTCTGGGGGTCCCACCATATTTCTTGCTGGATATGGTGGTACACAACTGTAATCCCAGCTACTCAAGAGGCTGAGGCAGGAGGATATAGCAAGTTTGAGGACAGCCTAGGCAACTTAATGAGACCATCTCAAGATCAAAAGTTTTAAAAGTCTGGAGCTTATTGGTAGGGTGCTTGCCTAACATGCTAAAGGCCCTGTGTTGTATCCCCAGCACTGAAAACAAAAAATAAACCAAAAACACACACACAAAAAAACAACTATTTTCATTTCTGCCTTGCTGGGGTTTTGGTCCCTCAGGGTCCATGACACCCATTGTCTCTAACCAGCAGTGACCTTTTTTTTTTTTTTAATATTTTTTGGTTGTAGATAGATACAATACCTTAATTTTATTTATTTATATGTGGTGCTGAGGATGGAACCTAGTGCCTCAAAGATGCTAGGTAAGTGCTATACCTCTGAGCCACAACCCCACCCCATCAGCAGCTACCTTCTTGTGTACACTTCTGGGAGACTTCTGTCTCCCCATCTGCAGATGCCTGCTATGATCCTAGATCTCTTTGGCCAGATGATTAGGCGGAAAAGGAGATGTCAGGGGTCCTAAGATCAATGGAAACCCAGCAGCTTAAAAACCAAGTCTCAGCCAAGTATGTTTCCAGAGCAGTGGTCCCCACTGTGCCGGAGGTGGTGGCTTTGGCCAAGCAAGTCAGCACCTGCCTGAGCAGTTGGTGGGCAGTTGGTTCCCAGGTCTGGCCTACACGCCCTGGTCTGGGACCCTGGTGCTGTGTCTTCATTTTACAGATAGGGAAATTGAGGCTCAGAATTTGGTAGAAACCTGCACAAGTCCCTCTAGCCAGCCAATTGGGTAGCTTGCTGCCCCCGATCTGCACAGGCAATTGAACTTAAGATTGCTCATGTGAATTTTCAGGGACACCAAATAAAACACAGATACAGTTATCTTTACACAAGCTTCAGGACAACTCCTCTGCTCTCAGCCTCAGGCTCCCCAAAATGGAGAGCAAGAGAAAGTCACGAGAGGCTGGCGAGAGAGAGTGAACACGTTCAGAAGTGGGCTTTTATTGGGGGGACTCTTGTTCTTTAGAAAGTTCCATCCAAAAAAGGCCAGAAGGGGCAGGGTTACAAGGGACAGGTGAATGTTACTCAAACCCAGGGACAACACCTACACCTGAAGACCCGCCTTTACTATCCAAGCTGGACAATGCCCAAGTCATCATGAAATGTAGTAATTGATCAGAGACCCCTGCTTCAGGACTGGAAGATGTGGGTTATTCAGAAAACTCCCCACAGTGGCTTCCTCCTGAAGTGTATATATTTGTTCGTCTTAGACATGAAGACTCCCAGCCTGCTGCCCCTGTCCCCTGCCTATCTACCTTGGGAAGAGGCTTGGGAAGGAAATCGAGGGCCTGGGCAGAGACCCAGCCTGACCTTGCTGTGCCTGTGTGTCTGTCTGTAGCCCTTTGTGTATTTCTTTGTGTGTGTGCCCGAGTGTTTGTATGTGCGTGTCTGCATGGAACGAGAACCCCTGATGCAGTTAGGTCCCACCCTGGAGGGTGGAAGCCCCATCACTGGGCTTCATCCAACCCTGGGAGCAGATGCAAATGTCTTGCAATCTCCCTGGGATGTGGAAGGGGCTCCTGCCATCTGATGCGCTAGGCAGGTTCGTGTTCTGAGTCTTGGCAAGCGACAGCTCTGCCCAGGCATGTCCCCGCTCAGTGCAGGCAACCGTAGCCCATGAGCTGAACACCACTCTCTGGAGCCGCCAGGACACCCCTACTGCTGCCCTGACCTCCCTAATCTGCCCAACACAGCCACCCAGTAGATGATGCTTCCTATATTGGCGCCTCCTTCCACCCTGCACCCACGTAGGAGGGGCCGCTTGCCCTGCAGGTGGCTGAGCCCACACAGTGTGTTGCTCTGACAGATACCTACTCAGTTGTGGCACGGGGCCAGCTCCTGCCCCATCCTCAGAGGCTTTCCACCTCCAATGGGCCTCAGGCTCCTAGGTGTTGGATGGGGCTGTGGCTGCCTTCTCTCAAGCACTGTGTGAATGATGGAGTTGGTGGGATGAGGTAGGACAGAGAGGTGGGGCAATAGGAGTAAGGGAGTGACCATGGCTACCTGGCAGGATCATGCGGAAGCAGCCATCAGTTGTCCTGGCCGTGGCACACACTGTAGTGAAGAGGATGTCGTCCTTCCTGCGGCAGATTGATTTCGCGCTGGACTGGATGGAGGTAGAGGCTGGGCGTGCCATATACAGGTGAGGCCTGAAGGTGTGCTGTGTACAGGGAGGTTCTCAGGCATCTTCCTTTTCCTATGGGTGTCCCTCTTGTTTGCACTGGAAGTGATGCCTGATAGCCCTAGCTTGCTTCCTGAGGAGACTGCACACTGCAGGTACTCACCCTCCAGGTACCCACAGACGTGCCTTTCACAGGTGCGTCACTGGCGGGCATCCTGGGCTTCCCAGGCACAACATATTTCTCCTGGATGACTTTCCAGGCTATACATGAGCCCATGTTCTTTAAAACTGCACACAGCCTGTGGCTCAGGGTGCCGTGGCTGACTGCTCTTGGGTCCTCTGCGAGCCTCTCTAGGCTGCCCTGGAATCCACCATAGACAACCTCCCACTCGCCCTGGTCTCAGACAAACCTGGGTTATTGCTCTCAACTTCTGTGGGGTTTAAAATGTAAAGTAAGGAAACAAAAAATATTTAGACCTAATAGTGAATTCGTGTGTTAACACAAATATTTTTTAATAAAAAAATAACTATATTTTCCAAAACAAAAATCTTTCCTGAGAAGACTGTGTTAATTAATTTTTTTGCAACCCTGGGGTCCATTTGGCTTTTGGGAAGCTGGGCCTGGAAGCAGCTAAGAGTGGCAGGCTGCGGACCTCCAGGGCCTCTGTGTTTCCGCAGGCAGGGAGATAAGTCTGACTGCACATACATCGTCCTGAGTGGTCGACTGCGCTCTGTGATCTGCAAGGATGATGGGAAAAAGCGCCTGGCAGGGGAGTATGGCCGTGGAGACCTCATTGGTGTGGTAGGTGCTGGGCTCCCCTGCGTTTGAGACTCTGGATTGGCCTGGTTGATACCCTGTGCAGGAGGAGCCCCTGAAGCGGCTACAGGAGGGCAATGCTTCCCATAGCTGGTTGGCTCTGAGCCCTGGCTCTCTGGGATCACATTTGTGGTATGCTTCTGCCTTTTGGGTGTCTCAGAGTACTGCCCCCTGGTTTGGGGTTCTCACTTGCTTCCCAGCTGTACTAGAGCCCTGGGGGGTGAGTTGTGACCTCTGAGTTACCTCCCAAAGGTTTCTATCGAGAATGACTAAGAACTCATTCAGGCCTTTCAGGGCCATCTGGCACAGGCAGGTCTCTTCATCCTGAACTGCTGCTGGCCAGCCCTAGGTTGCTGCAGCAGTGAGCTTCTGGGTCTCTAGAAGGAGAGTGGAGCAGGCCAGGCTTCTTACAGCTTGGGGCTTCTGTTTTTTTTAGCTTTTAAACCAGTGGTCAGGGAAGCCCAGAGGCATGTGCTGCAGGGTCTTAAGGCACAAGATGCCTTGGAGGATGTGGGCCAATGCCTGATTTCCTGCTGTGCAACCCTGTGCCCATGAAGCTCCTAGCCACCTCTCTGAACTCTGCCTGGGCAGTACATCTCCCACATCAGAGTCCAGGGCTTCCTCTCGCTCAGCTGACGCTAGCCTTGAGGGGGCTGTGCCTCATGCAGCCCAGCTGCCATTTCTCAGGTGAAAGTTAGTGTGCCTGGCAAGATGCCGCACAGGAACTGCCATGCCTGGCAGCAGGCTCTATATGCTCTAAGGGGCATACCTTATGGCCTCCTCCTGGGAATATGGTTCCTCTCCAAAGGTGTTCATTTCTTTCTTTTTCTTTCTTTCTTTCTTTCTTTTTTTGGTTATAGATGGACATAGTACCTTTTATTGATTGATTGATTGGCACTTGGGATTGAACCCAGGGCCTTGTGCATGCAAGGCAAAGCAAGCACTCTACCAACTGAGCTTTATCCCTAGCCCCTTATTTATTTTTAGGTGGTGTTGAGGATCATCAAACCCAGTGCCTCACATATGCTAGACAAGCACTAGCTCACCACTGAGCTACAGCCACAGCTGTTCATTTCTGAGGGAGTGTGCTGACTACCCTTTGCCAGACAATGACCCCAGCTAGTGCCTGAGACCTGTTCCAGTGCCCTTGGGCTGCTGGCTTCCGGCACATGCCTGTGGTTCTGGCTGCAGAACCTGTGAGAGTTCATTGGAGGCTTGGTTAGGCCATTTTGTCTCCTCCCTGGTTCCAGTACCCTGTAGCTACACGTGTCTCTCCCATGGGCTGCTGTCCACCTGAGCACCATTTACACTGGGCTAGGCTCCAGGTAGGCTGAGCAATGTGGCTTCAGTACCTGGCTCCTCTTCCTCAGGTGGAGACGCTGACCCATCAGGCCAGGGCAACCACGGTGCATGCTGTTCGGGACTCAGAACTGGCCAAGCTGCCTGCAGGAGCCCTGACATCTATCAAGCGCAGATATCCTCAGGTAAAGGTGGTACAGGGCCCCTGTTGCATTTGCCTTGAGGCCAGATGATTATTTAATCAAGTGCAGACAGATCTGACCTGGAGCAGCAGGTGGGATGGCATGAGAAAAGTGATAGGAAAGCATGTCTGTGGGGCTGGGGCTCTCACCAAGCAGCTTTGGGCAGGTGGGGTGGGGCTTGGAGAGGGTAGGTAGAGTTTGCAGCCCCACAGCCCTGCAGCATAGTGAGGGCACTTGCGCTGCACCTCAGGGAGGTGTCATAGCTGCTTGTTCTGGTTGTCTTCCCTATATGTGAGTCATGAGGATATCAGACATGGAGAGAACCTGACCTCAGATTCAGAGTTGACCAGAGGCAGTAGCAAGGGAGTACTAGGTGCCTGGCCACTGAGAAGCTACATTCAGATCTGTGATCTTCAACCAGCTATGAAGTATGTGCCAAGTCAGTCTGTCCATTCTAGAGCAAATGGTAAGGCCGGGAGGGTGTGGCCCTCCACTTCCCAGGGCCTCGCCCCAGGCCACCCCACCTGCCCAAGCCAGGGCCTCTCCCTCACCTGGGGCTTACCAGAGGGTCCTGTCTGCCCTATTCCCAACTGGTATTCCTGTCAGGTGGTAGGTTATAGAGTGACCTGGACTTGAATCCCCAGGGGCCTCAGGCAGCAACCATGACCAGGGATACTATAGTTGTCCATTTAAGGATGAGTAAGCATTGGCCAGTCAGGATGAACTGATGGCCCATCCACGGAAGAGGGTGGTCACTGCTCTCCTGGATGGTGGCTCCTGTCAGCATGGCCGTGCAACCCTATCGTACCCCATGCGCAACTAGGGTCCCAAGCCAGAGACAGCAGGCTGCCTTGGCCACTGGCTGACTCCTCTGTGACTGCTCCCTGGTGGCCTGAGTATACTCACATCCACTCCCGTGGGTCCATGGCCTTCCCCATCTCCTTGTCTCTGGTCTTCTGGCCTTGCTGCTCTTCACAGTAGGCCATGGCTGTCTGCTTTTAGCTCTTGCCCACACCTAGGCTGCACACTGCTGGGTTGCCTTCGTCTTCTGTGGCCAAGCTGAGCCTCAGTAGCCCCTGAGAGTGTGTAAGCTGGCAGGGGTCCATGCAGTCCTGAGAACCCAAGTGCCTCTTCCCTGGTCTATAGCAGCATCCCATTCATAATGGTGGGTTTTCCCCTTGGGCTATGTCTTGTTCATGGGGAAGGGCCCTTAGCTTTCCACCACAGGAAGCCCCTTGGTGAGGTGCTTCTATCAGCCCCCTGCACTCGCCCTCAAAAATCGTCCCAGGATCTCCTGCATGTGACCTAGCACAGAGCACAGCCTTCTGTATGGCTTCTCCACTGTGCACCCCACTGGTCCCTTCTTCAACTGAGAGGTGTTGGATGTTTCCAGTTTGAGCTAAGCCCAGCCCCACACAGTGGTGGTGAGAGTCAGTGGGGACAATGCTCCCTTTCTCTTGAGGAACTGCTGGGTCACAGTGGAGGTGTGTGTTGGGGAACTGCAGACAGCTCTCCACTGCTGCTGTGTGCTTTGCAGCCTGTGTGGTGGGGCCCGAGCCTTGCTGTTCATGCTACACCAGCACAATGTGGGCAGAAAGTGGGTGTTCACTGTGGTATGGATTCACATCTCCCAATAACTGAAGATGCTGATAATTGTTCACACATTTATTGGCCTGTTTTGAGCCTTTGTCACCTGATACAGAAATAATCTCTTTTAAGGTCTGGGGATATAGCTGAGTTGGCAGAGTGCTTGTCTTGCATGCACAAGTCCCTGGGATCAATCCCCAGCACCAAAAAAAAAAAGAAAAATAATCTTTTTAAAAATCAGCTTTCACTTTGAATTATTGTTGTGACAATTTTTAATTGTGACACTTATGGTTGTTTTTAAAGGCTCTTATGCTTTAGAGAACCATATTCAGATATTAATATTTGTGTATCATGAAATGCTTTGCTTGGGACTGGCTTCCAAACCATCCAGGAGTGTGTGTTTCGTGTGGCTGATGGAATTGGGGAGAGACCAGGATAGAGAGCAAGTTTTATTAAGAAAGTGGTAGACATTAGAGATGGACTCCTCCGGAGAGTGAGAGTCTGGAGGGGGTGCTACTTGCTTTCTTATAGGCCCTAGAATCCCCCACCTTTATTCACTGTCTTCTCTTCTTCCCCTACACATGACGGGGAGCAGGAGCACAGAGGTTAATTGTTAGCAGCCCAGAGTGGTGAGGAGCACAGTCAAGGAGGGTAACCCTGAGCAACCCATTGTTCTGATAACCCTCTTGACCCCCATCATTCGTTACTTACTTGGTCCTCACCCTCTTGATCCCTATCATTCACTACCTACACAGACTGCCTGACCTTTCCCCCTGTCTCCATAATAGGAATCCTGTAATTCCAGTGCTCTGGAGGTCTAGGCAGAAGGATTGAAAATTCAAGCCCAGCCTTGGCAATTTAGCAAAACTCTGTCTCAAGAAAAAAAGGACTCCGGTGTAACTCAGCAGTAGAGCATTTGTGGGTTCCATCCCCAGCACCAATAAATAAATAAATAAATGATATATTGTGATAATTTTCATTTGTCAATTTAAAATTAATTCTTACAGAAAAGTTGTAGATATTTTGACATCCAGTCCTAAAATACACTAGTCTACAACATTAAAAATTTTAATATTAATATAACCCCAAATAACTATTGTGTCTAAAATGTAGTAATTACTGGGCATCATCATATATATGTCCACATCCCCAGCTGTCTCCCTGGAGTGGGACGTCCATGCAGGAGCAGATTGCACCTGACCAAGATGAGCCTGCAGTTCTGGAGGCCCTGGCAGTCGACCCTCATCCTGCCCTGAGATCAGGGCAGCTGCTTTGGGGTGTCTGCCTGTTCTAGAGCCGGCTTGGGATCACAGGAGATATGCCTCTTTGACCTGCTGCCCCTGGCTCCCAAGGCTGTCCTCAGAGTGAACTGCTTCTCTGGCAACTAGAAGGATAATGGTCTGCAGAAGGGAGCCACTGGTCATCCCTGGTTGACGGTGATTTCCAGTCTGTGGCAGTTTTCGAAAGGGCCTGAGGCCTGATTCGAGCATCACTGTGCAGTCGTTAGTTGCCAGCTTTCACTGTTAAAAATATATTGTTTGAGGTTTCTCATCTTTCTGTGCCCCTAGGTGGTGACTCGGTTGATTCATCTCTTGGGAGAGAAGATCCTGGGAAGCCTCCAGCAGGGATCTGTGACAGGTGGGTGTGCCCCACATAGTGGTGTTAGAGACCTGCCTCAGGGGCCCTTCCTGCTTCAGAGCCACCCAGTGTTCCCTACCCACTCTGGGCACAGCCCCTCCCTGCCTCAGAGCCCAGCCCTGTGCAGCCTTAGGCCCCTGCAGAGCCCACTCACCAAACACAGTCTCACACTGGAACCCTGCCTGGAGGGTGGAAGGCCTCTGGACCACACAGACTGCAGGGCTGCCCAAACCTCCAGGAAGGCTGCAGAGCTCCCACCAGTGTGACTGAAGAGGGTGGGTAGAGTTAGTGTGCTTAGGCTTTGGCAGTGACAGAAAATTTTGCTGAAATATGTTTCAATGTGGGCAGCAGTGATGGAAGCTCCACTGTGTGTGGAAAGAATTGGGATGTACCTTCCTCCTATTTTTGTTAGCCCCTTAAATAAAGGAAACAGGGTGAAACTCCAGGGAGTGGGCTAGTTGGAGGCTGCTATCGGTCCTATGCCAAGCGTGGAAAGATGGTGAAAGGACTCCAGCTTATTTTCCTCTCCTATCTCTGAGCATGTGCTTTTTTTTTTTTTTTGAAGTTTTCATAAACTATATTACTTTTGTCTTTATTTTGTTCCAGTTCAGCTGAAATACAGTTTTAACACAAATAAAAAAAATCCACTAAAAAAAAAAAAAACCAAGTGTAACCATCACCATCTGAGATCCAAGCCCCTTCTGGTCTAGATACTTCACAGTCTCATTTCTGCAGCCCCATGTCCTTGTCATCCCACTTACATGATTTGGAATGACCAGAGCATGTGCTTTTTTGAGGAGCCACTGTTGGCTCTGGTTTCTGAGGCTGTTCCCTTTCCCTGGACTCTAGACATTGAGAACTGGGGTGTTGCCCTTTGGCTCTTCTTTGGTCAACAGACTTGCCTCAGGGTTTCTCCCTCTTCTGTGCACACCAGGCACATGGTCCTCAACTGCCTGCCAAACCTCCCTGCCCCGAGCCTGGAGCACACCCATCTGCATTCCTGAGCCCAATGCTCAGCACAACCTCCTGACCTCCCCATCAATGCCTGCTGTTCTCAGTCCTCCTTCTCTATCAGTTTTCTTAGCTGGCTTGTCCATGGGCTCTGTCTGCACTGTCCCATGAGCTACATGATGGCAGAGATTATGTCTTGAACCACTGCTGTGGCTTGTGCACAGTACTGAGTGTGTGAAAGGGATAAGCCAGTGGAAAGGTATATTGCACAGAGGCAGCAAGAGTGATGGTGTGGTCCACTTCAGGCTGACCTCACCCTCATCTGATCACATCTCTAAAGCTCTGTTTTCAATAAAGTCACACTCCAAGGTTCCATTGGACTGAATGTGGGAGGCATGAGGCATGTTCAGCTGGGGAGGGACCAATCTGTTTGAAGTCAGTTTCTCATAGGGAGCCCATCCTTGGATCCCGTTCTTGTCATCCCTTCTTATGGTCTTCACCTTTTGGTTTGTGTGTTTTGACCATTTATAGATAATGTAATTATTTTATCAGTATTTATTTTTTCCATTTTGTAAATTTTCCTATTCCCCCCATCCCTCACTGTTGCATTGAGTTCCATGACTAAAACACTCAGGGTCATTCCAGGTGAACTGGGCTGCACGAAATAATCACACAGAGACAGAGAAATAACTTTTTCTTTGGGTCCTGTGATGGCTCTCTGACCATAGGGGTCCTTAGAGAGAGAGAGAAAGAGAGCACACATACCCTTTTATTGGGAAGAAGCCATTCAAATGAGGCAAGAGGTCAGGTTTCAAGGGGGTTGAGTCTAGCTTCCTGATGTCTGCTGTCAGCAGGTTGACATCTAGGGAGGCCACACCCATCTCATGAGCTGTGTGGAGATCATGGTAGGGTGAGTGAAGAGACCAGAGAGGCCTTCCCCAAAACAGGGGCCATGTCGGTTCCGTCCACCCTGTACACTCAGTGCCTACAGTTCACACCCACATAGCCCAGGGCTGGCTGGCCATATCTCCACTCTCAGCACTCAGGGCTAACGGGCGCTCATTTCCTATGTGGCAGCTCCTGGCACCTCACCTTTAGTTTAACTAAATTTGATTAATTAATTTTTTTTGAGACATGATCTCACTGATTTGCCAGGCTGGACTTCAGCTGGCATGTTTCCTGCTTTAGCCTCCTGAGTCACTAGGATCACAGGCATGTGCCATCACACCCAGTGTGGCCCTTTTAAGCATCCAGTTTTTACTTGTCCCTGGCTCTTTAATGATAGTTTCAGTGGTCACTCTGGGCATCACAATACCTATATTCACCTCACTGTTAACTTATCTATTACTACTAGCATTGTTCCACCAAGTGTAATCAGAGCACCTCATCCCTGTCTGGATCACGTTAACTTTCCTTTTACACTATGTTGTCTTACTATCTCTACATCGTCGAGAGCCCTTCAACCAGTGCTCACTTTTGCTTTCACTCATTACACCTCATTTTGAATCTAAAGGGAACAGTGTGTGATACTTGGCTACTCTCCTGCACCCTGGTGAGGGTCTGTAGGGGCAGTTCCCCCTGTGGAAGGGCTTCTCTTAGCAGTTCTTTTGGAGCAAGTGAATGGTCAGGACTTTTCTTTGTTTCCATCCATGTGCAGCTGTCTTACCTCACCTTCATCTCAAGGGGTGTTTAGCTAGATGTAGAATTCTGATTTGATGGTCCCTGTGACTGACTCAGCACTTTAAAAACTTTGTCTCATGTTCTTTGAGTGATGACACTCAGAATTAAAGAAGCATTAAAAAGATCTCTAATTCTAGAATATTTTGGATTTTCAGATCAGGGGTGCTCAACCAGTCTGAATAAGTCCCAAATCTAAAACACTTCTCACCCCAACATTGTAAATAAGCCACACTGTGAGAAACATGGTCACCTGTCCAAGCCCAAAGCATGGACTCCAGAACACAGGAACAGCAAAAGGCCAGGCTTTACTGATGGTCTTGTGAGATCGGGTATCTGGGGAGCAGGTACACACTTAAACCAGCACTTTATCCCAGAGAGTGCAAGTTCCCCCCCACCCCCACCCCAGTTCCTCATTGGCTAAGTACTGTGGGGTGCACGCTCTTGCTCTTCCTCTCTTCCTGGTGTCGTCACCTAGGTTTTACTATCTCCTATTGAGCTGTTTAAAGAAATGTCCCCACCTCCCTCTGTTCTCTTATGGCAGGGGAGTCCCCTTGGGTGGAGTGCATTTTGGCACGTATGCAGTTATCTCTGTTGGTCAGGGCCCCTCCCTAAGCTGTCTGTCAAGGGGCTGGGAATCTTTACCCTCCATGTTACCTGCCTGTAATGTCCATCCTGCCCTCCCACCACGCCTGTCCTTCACCCCCAGCCATTTCACATTTGAGCCAAATGCTGTCAGACTTTCTAGTTCTCACTCAACCTGGCTTTAAATTGTTCCCAAATAGGTAAGGTGTTAATTCTTTCTATCCATGTTCAAGAATTTTTTTTTTGCCTTTAATTTTTATAAATTGAATTTTGAACTGTCTAGGGGTGATTATCTTTGGGTGTATCCTATTGGAGTTATCACATCTTAAGTTAGTAGGTTTTTACTTATGCTAAATTTAGGAAGTTTTAGCCGTTATTTCTTAAAATCTTCTTTCAACCTTGAATCTTTCTCTTCTTCTGAAAGCATAAGGACTTCCAGGCCAGAGCTTTTGTCATTACCCCCTGGGTCTCTCTCTTTGATGTCTGGCAGAATGTTCCTTTGGTCTGCCCTGGGTCCCTTCTTCTTTCCTCTGTCTCCTTGCCCTGCTGGAGGCTGTGTGGAGGGCTCTGGTTTCCGTCTGTTTGTGGAGTGCTGGTGATCACTGGTCTAGCTGCCTTCTTGTCCCTGTCACATGATTCCAGCGTCTAAGACACGTGGCTATTTTGTCTGCTGGTGCACTTTTCTTGTTCTAGTCCAGGTTTTCCTTGCTCTTGGTACACCTGGTGATCTGGACCATGCCCTGCTGGGTTTTGAGTGCTTTGTTCCCATTTAAACCTTGCATTTCAGCAGACGACACTGTGCACCTACAGCTCTTGTCCTGGCCCACTTTTCTGGACTGTGGTCTGATGTTAGCCAACCCCAAGGCCTTGCAGTGCTGCTCTGTCTGCCCTGTCCTGTGCTCACAGAACCAGCATAAAAGCTGCTAGCCATGAGCACCATCCAAGCTCTCAGAGTCTCTGGAGGACTGCAGTTGGTACCTGCATGGCCAGAACTATACACGCCAGTCTGAAGAGTTCCTCTCTACCTTTCCCACCTCTGGTTCAGGGCAGGGGTGGCTGTGGTGAGCTGCTGGGACCAGATGTTTGCTGGTGCTGAGTGTTGATCAGTCTCTCAGGAGGTAGCCAGGTCACTTGTGACAGCCAGGTAGTGTGTGCCTGTTTTACCTCCCTTTGGGCCAGAGCCAGAACTTGACAAGTACCTTGCTTAAAGACTAAGAAACTGCTACACAAAGCTAATGTTGGAGCCCCCTTCAGTTCTATACAAAAATAGGAGCGGGTTCTGATATCTGAGGTTCCTGGGAAGGAGGAAAGGAAGGGCTTTCCTGAGAAACGCTGATGTTGAATGAGTCTGTGAGAACAGGCCGAGAGCAAGGTCCAGCCTGGGGTGGAGGCTCTTCTCCATTTCTGCTCAGTGGATGTTTAAAGTCACTTATCAGGTATCTCTTTTATCCTGAGGATGGCAGACTTTCCACTTGGCATTTGGAAGCATCAGTGTAGACTCTAGCATAGTCTCAGTACCCAGTGCCTCCTTGTGGGGGCTGTGTGTCGTGGCCAGCTGTCTGAGGGACCTGCCTACCGAGCTGAGGGGTGGAGGTGGGTAGGATACAACCTCACAGGGTGGGACATCACAGTGGGGAGTGTGGCCTCAGAGGGAGACCATCAGGTACCTGAGACCTGTTGCACAGAGGGGCCTCCCGGGCCTGGGTTTTTGTGGTAGGAACTGGACCTGTAGGTACATGGAGAAGTCAGGCTGAGCTCTGTGGTCAGATGGCAGGTGTGGATGAGGCTGGGTCCACAGGGAGGAGCAGATCCAAGAGGAAAATGTGTGACAAGCCTTGCTTTGCTTCACTTTTTTGTCCAATGTTGCACAGTTTATCACTAAAGTTGTATAGGCTTATAACACACCCGTCTGAGGACAGAGCCCTGTAGGCGAGGAGCAGATGCAGCCCACACTGCTAGGGTCTCCCATCCTTTCTTACAGGGCCCTCTAGTATGTGTTCTGGGAGAATGCCCTGCTGGAACAGCTGATTAACACGTTTGCTCCAGGGCTTGGGTCTCTTCCTAGGGGCCAGCAAACTCTGTGGCTGACACTGCCCAGCACTGGGCTCCCTCCCCGGAATGCTCATCTCTCCCTGTGGCCTGAGAGTGGACGACCCTCCATACCTTGAGCATTGCTGAGCATGGCTCCTTGGCAGAAGCTGGGTGCCGCCTGTGAGCTGCTGGGAACATGGCTCTGGGCTTTGCAGCCTCACAGCAGAAACAGGCAGAGGATTGAGCCTTCACAGTCTGCATAGCACCCCTTCCTTCATGCAGTGGGAAAGCACTGTGGCCAACTGGGTGGTACTGCTGAGGGGCCAGTCAGAGAAGAGCACATTCTGGAGGTGTTGGTGGAGTCAGGAGAGAGATGAGCCATGGAAGAGGGCATGACAGGGTGCAGAGCGGGTAGGTAGGGGTTCTGGAAATTATGTGCAGATGAAAGGTAACATGCCTGCTAACCTTCCAGGCTCATGCTGCTTCTAGAGTGAGGGGTGGAACGTTCCAGCAGGAGCCTGTCTAAAGGCTGAGTCCCCTGTTCTGGCAGAACAGGACACCTGCCTGAATTTATTCTTTTCCAAAGCCTACTGCTCCCGGAATCTCCAAGCCTTGAGGTCAGGGTGGGCTCCTTCCTCAGCCAGTGCCAGGAGTACATCAGTCCTTGTGTTGAACCAGGGGCTGATCGTCCTTGGGAAGACCCAGAGCAGACCCTGGTCCTGGCTGGTGCCTGTGTCATTTGGAGACACTAAGGCTGTCCCAGCTGCGGCCTCCTAGGCTGACACTGCACTCTGCTCCACAGGCCACCAGCTTGGGCTCCACACAACAGGCAGCAAGTGGGACATATGTAGCCCAGCTGGCAACCTGTCCACCGTGGCTGCGATGCCCGTGTCTGAGGACGTTCCACTTACCACCTTCGCACTGGAGCTCCAGCATGCCCTCAGTGCCATTGGTAAGCTTATACAGAGAGAGGGGTCCTCCTCAAGCTGGGGAGGGCTCTACCTCAAGGGGACCTTCATTGAAGACTCAGCTCCCCAGGTCGGGGCAGGCACAGTGGTACAAGAGCATGTGACAGTAGGATGCCATGCACAGACCCCAGGATGCCTTCCTTGTCCCCCCAACCCCCCATCTCTGAGAGGAGACACTGTGGTGGGTGGCAGGGAGCTGACTGACTGTGGAAAACGCCCTTGATTGGGCTCAGGTAGCTTGGCTGCTCAGGACAAATCTACCACTCTTCAGCCAGCACTGGGGGTCTGTCATACCTGGGATGGAATCCAGGAACCATTGTCCTTCAGAAATAGGCAAATTCCTAACAGCTGGTGAACTTGGGGACTCAAGAAAGGGAAAATGCAAATTTCCAAGAACTCCTGGAAATTTCCAGATTTATAAGGTACTCCATGTTGTTGTGTTCTCCTTGGCACTGTTTTTTGTTTGTTTGGTTTTTGGTACTGGGGATGGAACCCAGGGCCTTGCCATGCTAGCCAAGTTTCTACCATGGAGCCGTGCCCAAGCCTTTTTATTTTTTGAGACAGGGACTCAATTAAGTTGCTGACACTGGCCTCAGGCTTGCAGTCCTGGAGCCTGTGTCTCCCAGGACACTGGGGTTATAGGAGTGGCCATGATGCTTGGCTTCTTCTAAGTTTTTATGTGATCGTGGTGACCACAATGATACGAAGTAAATTATCTTGGTGGGATTAAACTGAAAGTTACAGGGTTGTCTCTGCAAGAAGATATAATAATAAACCCCATCAGAATTGTTTGATTACCATAAAATAATATATTGTGATTACATTGTATCTATTTCAATACTGTGCAGAAATGCTCTCTGCCTGGTACAGACTTTAATTATAGAACACATTAAGTAAATGCCAGCAGAAACATCTATAAGATGCCACTTTAAATATCTAATATATAAAAGTTATTCTCAAAGTGAACTTTTAAAAATTATTTTTATTTTTTTTCAAAATGAAGAATTTAAACACATAAACAAGAACTGCCTTGTCTTATAGTGTTGATTTCTGCCTCACAAGGGTTGTGGATGTGTGTAGGAAGTCCTGTCATTTCCAGTAGATTGGTCAGGTTGCTCAGAATGCAGCTAGACTGTCTTCAGGTTGCACATGGAAGGTGTTGCTTTGGGAAAGCACATTCCTTTTTTTAAAAAGCTTTTATTTTACAATCATTATAGATTCACAAGAAATGGCAAAATGGTACGGTAAGATCCCACATACTTGTTGCCAACGTCCCCCAGTGGTAACACCATACATAATGGCATAGTTAGGTTTCTGTCGCTCTGAGAAAAATACCTGATAAAATCAACTTAAAAGAGTAAAGATTTATTTTGGTTCATGATATAGAGGTCTCAGCGCATGATTACTGGGCTCTTTTGTTTCTGGGCCTGTGGTGAGGCAGAAAGAAGGTTGTGTCAGGGAGCACATGAGAGCAGAGCGCTCACCCTGCGGTGGCCAGAAAGCAGAAGAGAGCTCACGCTATAGCAAATCTCTTCCCCAAGCTCATGGAGTGTCAGCCCATCACGGTGCTCATCTCCTGTGGGCTTGGAGCCCTTGAGATCCCTTCGCCTCCCAGAGGCCCCACCTCGGCTCATGGCCTCAACTCAGCACCTGAGCCTCTCTAGGAGGCTGGCGTTCGTGAGCTCCATGGTCGAATTTGTGTCTCTGCAGAGTGCTGCAGCAGTGCCAGTCTGCTGGTCACTGAGGAGACCCTTCGGGCTGCCCCCATTCTCTGGTCACCTTGCTCACTGGCCTCCCCTGCCCTCCCTTTCTGAAGTTTTGTTATAAAAATGGAACTCTTCAGCATGTGGCCTTTGAGATCAGCTTTCTTTCTCTTGTGAGAACTGTCTATTGTGTGGATGCTCCAGTTTCTTTAGCCATTCCACAGAAGGCTATTCGGTGATGTGTCCAGTTCAGGGGTATTTTGAATAAAGCTACTGGGACCACTTGCTAACAGCTTGCGTGTGCAGGTGAGCTTTCCTTTCTCCGGGATAAATGCCCAGGAGTGTGAGGGGTACCCTGAGTATTTTCCATTGTGTGCCCAGATGGCTGCACCATCCTGCATCCCATCAGCAGGGATAGGAATCTGCATCTTTGCCAGCCTTGAGGTTGCCCCTGCTGTTCATCTTAGCCCTTCTCCCAGGCGTGTGGCTTCTCCCTGGCAGGTAGTGATGCTAAGTACTTTCTATGTGCTTATTTGCTGTCTCTGTGTCCTCTCTGGTGAGGTGTCTGTTCATCTTTTCTTCTTACTTGCTCTTTCCTCCCTCTCTCTACTTTCTTTCCCAGATCCAGGGGTGGAGCCCAGGGCTCTGCTGTGTTAGGCAAACACTACCACTGAGCAGCACCCCAGTCCCTTTTGCTTATTTTGTAATTGAGGCTGTGGAATGGGGGATGGAACTCCTATCCCTTTTAAATAGAGTTTGGTTTTTGTATGAGTTTTAGGTTCACAGCACAATCAAGAGGAAGGCACAGCCTGCCCCACTTTCAGCACCCCCATAGACTTGGATCTTGTCACGTGACCACTGTCCGGAGCACATGGCCCACACAAGGCTTGCACTTGGTGGAGCCTGTGTGCCCCCATTGTTGTGTCTATGTCCTCAGGATGGGCTCACTGCCCCATGCACCCTCTGTGCTTTGCCTATTCATTCATCCTACTCCAAAGCCTGGCAGCCACTCATCTTTCCACTGTCCATCCAGTGTCGCCTCTTAGATGGGTCACATGTGACCCTCTTGGCACCTTTTGGCTAGTGGTATGCATTTACGTTGCCTTATGTCTTGATGGCCTGATAGTTCACGTCTCTTAGGTGTGATCGGTGTCTCACTGCCTGTTTATGCATTCACCTCCTCAAGGGCAGCTCGGCTGCTTCTAGGTTTTGCAACTATGAATAAAGCTGCCGTAGACACCCATGCACAGGGTTGGTGTGGGCATGTTCTCAGCTCCTTGGTGTAAACACTGAGGAATGTGACTGCTGGATCATTGTTTTGTAAGCAGAACCAACTGTCTTTCCTTAGTAGCTGTGCTACTTTGCATCCCCCCTGCAGAAAGTGCAGGTCTGCGCCAGCACGTGGAGTGCCAGGGTTAGTTCTGGGCCACTCTGGTTGTGTCCCTGCATTTCTCTCTGACACACCACATTGGTGTTTTTCATGTGCTTACTTTTCATCTGTAGTTCTACCTGGTGTGTTAGTCAGGTTTTGCTTCATTGTGACCAAAAGAGCCAACAAGAATGACTTAGAAGAGGAAAAGTTTATTTTGACTCATGTTTCAGAGGTCTCAGTCCATAGATGGCTGACTCCACTGCTCTGGGCCCAGGGTGAGATAGCATCTATTGGTGGAAGGATGTGGTGGTGAAGGAAAGCTGTTCAGCTGGTGGCAGCCAGGCTACAGGGGATGGGTGAGGGAGAGGGCCAGGGGCTGGGGGCTGCAGGGAGGCTACATCCTTCTAGGACACACCCCATCGACCCAGACCCCACCCAGTCAATCCACTCACACTAGGAGGTGATGAGGTTACAGCTGTCACAGCCTCAGTTGTTTCACCTGTGAACATTCCTGCATAAGCACAGCAGCTTTTAGGGGACACCCAAACTTTGACATTTGCTAGGTTAGGTATCATTCACATCTCTGGCCCATTTTCTAATTTGATTGTTTTCTTTTGGTACCAGGAATTGAACTCCAGGGCACTCAACCACTGAGCCACATCCCCAGCCCTATTTTGTATTTTATTTAGAGACAGGGTCTCACTGAGTTGCTTCGAACCTCACTTTGGCTGAGGCTGGCTTTGTACTTTCGATCCTCCTGTCTCAGCCTCCCAAGACAATGGGATTACAGGTGTGTGCCACTGTGCCTAGCTAATTTGGTTGTTTTCTTTCTTAGTAGAGGCACGTAATTTTACTTGGGAAAGCAAGGAATACACATTCAAGGGTAATGTGGGAATTTGGGCCATCTTGAGTGAGAGAGCTATTTTCATATTATTGAGATGTAAGACATCCTCGTGTATTTAGATAACAGTCCTTTATTAGATGTGTCTTTGCAGATGTTTTCTTCCATCTGTGTCTTTCCTTTTCATTCTCTTTTCTGACCCTTGCAGAGCAGAAGTTTTACATTATGGAATTGCAGCTGTTGTTACTGACTTCATGGGTTATACCTTAGTGCTGTGTTGGACGTTGGCTCTGTGGTCTGCCTCCGTTCCTTTCTGAAAGGGCGGGAGGTCTGTGCCTGCACATGCTGCTACAGCACCACATCTGTTCTCACTGTGCAGGCTTTGATATTTTGTCAGAGATCTGTTGACTGTATTTACATGGGTCTATTTCTACGTGTGGCTTGCTTTTTAGTCTTTCAATTGTGTCTTTTGATAAATAGAAATTTTTTATTTTTATTTTTCTTAGTTGTCAATGGACCTTTATTTTATTTGTTTATATGTGATGCTGAGAATTGAACCCAGTGCCTCACACATGCCAGGCAAGCGCTGTACCACTAAGCTACAACCCCAATCCCTACAAACAGAAATTCTTTTTTTTTTTTAATATTCATTTATTTATTTTTTAGTTTTCGGCGGACACAACATCTTTGTTTGTATGTGGTGCTGAGGATCAAACCCGGGCCGCACGCATGCCAGGCGAGCGTGCTACCACTTGAGCCACATCCCAGCCCCAAACAGAAATTCTTAATTCTAATTCAGACCAATTTTTTCCTATATAGTTACTGCTTTTTTGTGTTTTATTGAAGAAATATCATTCTGCCCTCAAATCATGAGATACTCCAAAAACTCCATTGTTTAGCCTTTATTTTTAAGTTTACGATATGCCTGGGGTTCATTTTGGTTATGCATTAGGCAGAAGTAAGACTCCTGTTTCCATTAGGGACAATGGCAAAGAGGCTGCCTGCACCCTGGTTTCGAGCTGGTCTGAGTTGGCTGAGGTGGGACCCTCACACATGCTGGTTTATACTTGCAGGTAGAAGCAGGGATAACAGAAATCTAGCATTCATTGTGAGCTGGTGCCAAGGCTGAGAACTGCTTGGGACCCTGGAAAGCCACCTACCTTGGGTTTCATACCCCAGGAGACAGGAATACTCACTGGGCTTGATTGTTGGAGGACATCCTGTTTATAGGGACAGAAACAGAGCCCAGCTGTTTTAACATGTCCCTAGCTGTCTTAGGATGCTGCCCCCCTACCATGCCCTCTGAATTCTTGAGAACACAAGTGAGGAAGAGGAGAACTGGTGAGGTCCAGGCCACTTGGAGAATTGTCCTGCAGTGTTGGGCTAAATTGGAACCCTTACACAGCCCTGCTGGCTGTGTCACCTTTCACTGAAGTGGTGTGGCCACCTTTGGGGCACGTGCTTCCTGGGTGTTCCTGCTTTAAAACTTCAGTCCAAGAGGTGTTTTCTTCTTGTGCTGAGATGTCATTTCCTTTCCTCTGGCTTCCAGAATTTGGGAAAGAGGCTGATTGGCAAGTAAGCCGGCTGGCAGTACTCTCTAGGCCAGAGCAGACTTGAGCAGAGGCCTGCCGGCTCCAGCTTCAGGCACTGCACTGCTCTAGAGACCGTGGTGCTGGCAAGCCTCTGCTTTTCAGGAGACTGCCTCCCCCTGCAGGGACATGGCCACACTTGGCTCTCCAGGAGAGAGAACTCTGCCTCCATCTGAACACATCAGGGCGTCACCGGCCCCTCTCAGGAATGGGTTAGTCAGCACAGTCTAGGTCAGCAGGTGCCACAGTGCTTTAGCCTCTGCTGTGAGAGCCTAAAGCACTGCCTGTGGGGGCTCCACCCACAGTGGAAATACACAAGGGCAAGTGGGGCCTGGCCGGAGTCCTTGTGGACTACACCTCTGTCCCTGCAGCCAGACACAACCTGTCTGTCTTGTGCTGAGAGGCCTCCTGGCACCAAGATGTATGGTCCTAACTGGCACTACCATCCAGGTTGAGAAAATACCACCCCATGGCACTCTGGCACCCTGGTAGGGATGGCAAGGAGATGTTCCACTGTGGCTCCTGACTGGGGCTCCTGGCTCCAACCTGCAAGCCAGGGCATGCGGCCCCTCTAGGACCCATAGCCCCTTGCCTAAGCCACCTGAGGGGCTACTGCTACAGGTTAGCTCAGAGCAGTGATAGCCATATCTCAGAGGCCCTCCTAGCTGTAAGGACCTTACTCTGTGTTCCTCTAAAAAAACACATGCAAGTTAAAATATGAAAGAGCTGCCAGGTGCTGCACACATGTCTCTTATCCTAGCTACGGAGAGGCTGAGGTGGGAGGGTCACTTGCAGGGCCATCTGGGTAACTTAGCCTGTCTCAGAACGTGTGGACGCATATTTATGTATGCATAGCACTCTTACTACTTAGATCTTGATTGCTCACTTGGAGGAAATGCTGGTTTGGAATGATGATAGCTCAGTGTGCCCTATCAGAGGGACATGCTATGAGGTCCTTCCAGCTTTCCCTGCTCAGCATCAGGCTCCTGGGTCCTTTTCCACCTAGCCTAGGTGCTCCTCGTCACTGCCACAATGCAGTGAGTCAGCTTCCAGAGTGAGTGTGTGCTCTGTGGGCTCTTCTCCTGAACCAGAGTGTGCTACCTTGAGAGACACAGATGTGAGAAGATGGTGTCTGTGTGTGGGTGAGCGAGCAGCACTGCTGATCTGGAACTGTGCTCTGGCATGCTGTGTCTGCCCAGCATATGTGTGTGTGTGCAAGGACAGTTGTAAGGATGCAGAGATTCGACTCATGCGTGTCAGCAGAGGATGGAGGAACTGCCCATCTTGGGAGCCTGCCCCTAGTCTCCTCTGGGTGAGAGGAAATGGCAGCTTCTACCTGCACTTTTTCACAGTGAGGTGGGAGAGGCTGCAGTGCCTTTCAGGAGCTCTGACCTCAGGAAGCAAACACTCCAGTTCCCTCAGAGGTGGCTGCCAGGACAGATTTCTGTGATTGGTGATTGTATTCTTAGGTCCAGTATTGCTGCTGACCAGTGACAACATCAAACAGCGCCTTGGCTCAGCTGCTCTAGACAGGTACGCTAGCCCCCAGCATCTGTTTGCCCACATAGAGACAGCTGCTGACCTTTGCTTTTACCTCTTAGCAATCCAGGCAATCCGGACATATACCCTATTACTCCTGTGTCCTGCATCCCCATTCCCCAGTATCTTCCCTGCACAACCACACTACTGGGCACCATTGGGCCTACCAGGGGACCAGGACTTTCCTTATCCTATGGCCAGTTCTGCACCCCACCCATTCACTGCCCTGCTACAGCCTCTGCTCAGCTCATTCTCATCAAGAAGGGACAGGCTGGGAATGCTGGCAGGGAGGGGGTGTGAGGGCTGGCTCTGCATTTGGGAGGGGTCATGCTAACAGAGGGGCCAAGGATCTCTGGAGCTGTCCCCAGAGGCTAAGTGCCTGCCTCTGGCTCAGCCTCCACGAGTACCGGCTGTCCAGCTGGCTGGGGCAGCAGGAGGACATCCACCGGATCGTACTGTACCAGGCAGACTGCACGCTCACACCCTGGACCCAGCGCTGCATCCGGCAGGCAGACTGCATCCTCATTGTGGGCCTGGGCGAGCAGGAGCCCACTGTGGGTGAGGTGAGCGCTTAGGGGGTTCCTTCTCAGAACTCTCCTTCTATTTTCCTTTGATTGAGACATTTCAAGAACTTAGGAAAGGACCCAGTTATCTGCAACCCATGCTTTAGAAACATTTTACTGTGTTCACATCCTCTGGGGGTTTTAACACAAAGCCCTGACCAAGTGGCCCTGGCAGAGTTGGATCCTCTGTCAGCCTGACTTTCTTAATACTATGTGTATAAAACCCTCCTCCACAGGCTTAAGATCTGGTAGGAGGAGTACCCTGTTTCAGATAATTCTGAGATATCTTTTCCTCAGTATTTGGGATCCATGAGCTTTTTCCTTGTTTTTTAAATTTTTTTTGTAGTTGTAGATGAACAAAATGACTTTATTTGTTAATTTTTATGTGATGCTGAGGATTGAACCCAGTGCTTCACGCATGCTAGGTAAGTGTTCTGCCTCTGAGCCCCAGCCCCAGCCCGCTTTTTCCCTGTTGTTCCACTCATTTTTATGGCTCTTATTTTTTGTTGGTAAGCACCATACCATCTGTACATGTATTCTCAGCCTGTGGGCAGTGGAGTCATTTCACAGCCACCAGCCATGTGCAGGGTGCTTCAGGGTGCCTGTAAGCTGCTAACCACAAAGAACATCTTCAGATTTCCCAGATGTCACTGGTCTGTTGCCCTGGTTGCTTTCATAGGTCTCCCTTGTGCATGTCTGCAGGGCTTCAGGTCCTTCCCAATGCTAGGCACTGTCAGCCTGTTCATCTGCTCCAGCTGTGTTGTGAAGCAGAGCCTCTCCACCCCTGGAGTTAGGTCCCCACCTCCTCCCTCTGCTCCACTGCTCTGTGCTCATCTCAAGCTTCTTCCTGGCCCGTATAATCCTGGGACAGCTAAAAATTCCTCCTCTCTGATGTTTGTTCCCTTTCTGCAGGGAGCGATGCTCTCTGGGAAGGGTGAGTGCTGCCAAACACATCACTGCAGAGGGCGCCATGCGCACTCGCACTCATGGGGCTGTGTAAAGAAGAGGCACCTGCTTTTGCATCCCCAGCTCTGTGGTCAGAGCTTCAGCAGCCCCAGGACAGGCCATGTCACAGCCCAGGTGTTACAGAGTCAGGGAGCCACTCTTGGACCCTTCCTAAAGCCCTCCTGCCCTATGTGGGACAGCGGCCAGGTGGTTCCAGGGCAAGTGTTGGTGGCATCCCTGTGCTCGCCCTCAGCTTCATCCTGCCCACAGTCCTCAGGCATGCCTGGGTTGGCTGACTGGGCCCTGCTCTCCCCAGCTGGAGCGGATGCTGGAAAGCACAGCCGTGCGTGCCCAGAAGCAGCTGGTCCTACTGCACAGGGAGGATGGTCCAGGGCCAGCCCGCACTGTGGAGTGGCTCAACATGCGGAGCTGGTGCTCCGGCCACCTGCACCTCTGCTGCCCACGCCGCGTCTTCTCTAGGAGGAGCTTGCCCAAGCTGGTGAGGCCTGGTGGGCTGCCATTAAGTTCCTGAGCCCCTGCACACCGTCTCCCCTGACCTCCTGTTTGCACAGTGCTTGAATGTCTAGACCCTCTTTCTCTCCATGCTGTCTGGAGGCTGAGCTGTGGGCTCTGTTAGGAGGTTTGTCTCCTTTGCTCCTGGACTCTGGCTATGAGTTGGTGTTTGCTTGACCTTGGGATCCTTGGGCCATTTTATGGTGCCATGCAGATATGGGGAAGTCCAGCATGGTGGAGGCACAGCACAGAGAGGCCATCAGGGGCCTGGGGGTACCAGTTAACCCAAAAGCTAGGCCTGAAGGAATCAAGGGCTGAACCTGAGGGTCTCACATTCAGCCAAGGCTCCTAAAAGTCTTGCAGGTCTGGTTAGCCCTGCCCAGCCCTGGGCAGAAGCAGACAACAAACCCTGAGACACCTCTTCCTCAGGCCGTCCTCAGCTTGATGGGCTCAGGGGCCAGGTTGGAAGGAGTATGGAGGCTGTCCATATACCACAGCCTACTCGGCCCCTGTAGCTCAATGGACAGCATTCTGATGACTGCACCCCTGCCCAGGACCCAAGAGCACTGTCTACCAGAAGGGCCTGTGGGAGATCCCCCTGAAGGAGCTCCACCTCTGCCCATTCTGGGCCCACATGATCACCCATGTGCCTTCTGCCAACATTCACCCCTGAGTGAGCCTGGGCTGGCTCTGAGGCCCCTGGGCATCAAGGTACTGATGGGGCCATGTCCTGGAAAGGAGACGACTTTGGGTGAGGAATGAAGGAAGTCTGCCCAGACCAGTCAGGTGTGGGGGTCATGACTGGGCGTCCAGCACAAACCCCTATCTTGTGCTGACCCTCTCAGATGGAGATGTACGAGCGTGTCTTCCAGCGACCCCCAGACCGGCACTCGGACTTCTCCCGCCTGGCACGGGTGCTGACTGGCAACGCTATTGCCTTGGTGCTTGGAGGAGGGGGAGCGAGGTGAGTCCCTGGCCCAGGTACTGCTGCCCCTGTGCATGCAGGTGCCCATCATTCCTGCAGGTGCTATGCTGGACTCCCAGGAGGACAGTGGTGACACACCACTGACAAGAGATGCAGACCATGGTGGCCTGTGCCATCCTCAGGAGAATACCCAAGTGGTTGGCAGGGGTGTGGCCTGCCCAATGAAGCACCTCCTGCAAGCAGGCCCAGCAAAGCTGCCCATTTCCTTGTTACTGGTAGAGTAGGAGAAGTGTTGTATCTCGTTCTGATTGTCTTTACCTGGAAGCCTTTGCTTGCTTTTAGCCACCTGGGTCTCCTGTCCTCCAAAAACTGTTGTCTTCTTCCCCCAGCGTCCCCTCAGGCTCCAGGTGAGCTGATTTTATCTTGACACACAGTGTGGAGTAAGGATCTGATCCATGTGTGAACTAGTGAAGTGTTCCTTAGTTCTTGGGCTGAAGGTTCCTTAAAGGACTTTTAGCCCAAATCATGCCTACTCTGGGTCATTGGACCCTTATCACCTTCTCCTGAAGTGAGAGAAGTAGAGTTAGGGCATCATGGGGTGAGGCCAGGCTGGTGCCTTCTTCTGGTGAACCAGAAGGAGCATGGAGGAGCACAGTGAGCCACACTCTGCCACACTGTGCCAAACCCCCAGCCCCAAGGAAGGCAGCACTGCACAGGAATTGGCTGCCCCTGCTCCCCCTCGGGGGCAGTGGAGGCTTGGATTATTCTGCTGGGAGACCCGCCTGCCTCCTGCAATTCCAGTTCTGAGCCAGGAACTCAGCAGAGGCACCTATTCAAGCTCTGTGTACTGAGTCCTGGCAGTACTTGACCTTGTGGCAAAGTGATAGTGCTTTGTTCATTGTATCTCAGGGATCCTGGGGTGACTTTGCCCCTTGTCCCACTCTCACTCTGGTGACAAGGAGACTGGGCTAGAGGAGAGGGGTGATTACCCATGACTGTTAGGCCCAGGAGAGGCCAGTGTCCTTTCTGTAGGGCTGGACAACAGGCATGTGGAGCAGATGGGCCCAGACTCAGGCCTGGCTTGCAGGTCAAGCCAGCAGCATCTCAATGAAAATGCATTTTAATACGAATGCACTTATGGGGCTGGGGCTGGGGCTCAGAGGTAGAGCACTCACGTACCACGTGTGAGGCCCTGGGTTTGATCCTCAACACCACATATAAATAAATAAATAAAATTAAGGTATTGTGTCCAAGTGTAACTAAAAAATAAAAATTAAAAAAAAAAGAATGCACTTATAAACCATAAGTTTCTGTAAGGCACAGGAAAAAAAAAAATGATCTTCTTACAGCCTCTCCAGCACCAAATCCAGAGTTCCCAGAAACACCCACTTACCCCACTCTGTGACCATCTGCTTGTCTCCATTCCTTTTGGACTGATGGTCTGCTTTCTGCTGTTGTAGATGACTGGCTTCCTGGCCCTCCTGTGCACTCTTATTCTGCGTCCTCCTCATCTGTCTGCTCTGCTCCCTTCGTCCCATTAGGGTCCCCGTGTAGCCGGCAGTGGCTCAGCCAGCACTTTCTGTTCCATTGTGAAATGGCTCTTATGGGGCACTCTGGGATCACTCCTCTTTCCTTGTTGCACCTGCATCTGCTCAGCTTCTGGTGTGAGCTGTGCACCTGCAGGCACTGCTGGAAGCATTGGCACCCACTAGTAGGCTCAGACAGAACAGGCCACCTCTGCTCGCACAGTTTAGGGTCGCCACCCTCATCTCTGCTGGCTGCTCTCTAGCTGTTGGGATGTCGCCCTGGGAACTGCCTTTGGCTCATTTCCTGTGTTGTGCTTTCTTCCTCTGTCTTGATATGCTCCTGTTTTTGGTGATCTCTTAGAGAATGCATAGGAGGCAAAAATGTTAAGACTCTACCTCTCAGAAGACGCCTTATCCTACACTCATGCCTGCACATGATAGTTTGGTAGGGTTTGGCTGTAAGTACTTCCCAGGGCTTCATTGTCTTTGTAGCATATTGCTGTTGAGAAGTTTCATGCTATTGTTCACAGGCCTGGGTTTTAATCTGGAACATTGAAGGACATTCTTGGTCTTGATATTCTGAAGCTACATGGGATGTGCCTTGATGTGGTTGTTTTTTGTCCATTGCACTGGATGCCCATTGGGTCCTTTCAAACTTGGAAATTCAGCCAGGTGTCATGCCCAGCTAGTCAGGAGACTAAGGCAACAGAATTGCAAGTATAAGCCCAGCTTCAGAGACTGAGTGAGACCCTGTCTCAAAAAGATTAGGGGACAGTCTGGGATTATAGCTCAGTGGTAGAGCACCTGTGGGTTTAATCCCATTATCCTGCCCCCCCCCCAAAAAAAAAACTCTGGAAAGTGTTTTATGTTTTATTTTTTAAAATAGTGTTTACCTCTTTCTTTTTCATTTTCTTGGAGCTCCTACTGGTCGAGTATTGGCATCCTAGATGGATTCTCTAATTCTCTTACCTTTTCTTTCCTATATTGTCCATCTTTATATTCCAATTAATTTTTCCACTAAAATAACTCTAACACCGAGTGATCTCTCTTCCTAGTCTTCCTGACTCCCTAGTGCAGCTGTCTCTGGGACAAGCAATGGCAGGCTCCTCGCTGGCTCTGCTTGCCTGTTTACGTCTCCCACCATGAGCTGGTATATCTGGCTCTGTGCTCGTGACATGCTGTGTGAAAGTTGTGTCCTCGGCTGCAGGTGTGGTGAGCCAAGGACTATTCCATCGAGCACTCCTTTTTCACCCCTCCTTCTTCTGGTAGGCATTTAGGTTGTTTCTTGGTTTTGATTTTTAGGAGCAAAAGGATAATAAACACTCTTTACATGGGCACATGTTTTCTTGTCTCTTAGGCAAAGGCCTGGGAATGGAGTTACCTGGCCACAGGGTAGTTGTGCCATTTTACACTTACCAGTTGTGTGTGAGAGTTCAGTTTTCCACATTCTTGCCACCCATTAGTATTGTCAGTATTTCAGTTGTAGCCACTCTAGTGGGTGTGCGGTAGTCTCTGTGTGGTTCTCATTTGCATCTCCCGATAGCAGGCTGTGGAGCTTCCGTTTTGTAAGCTGGTGTGCTGGTTGCCCATATGCGTGTGCGTCCTTTTTTATTTATTTTTTGGTTCTGGGGATTGAACCTAGGGGTGCTTGCTTTGCCACTGAACTACGCCCTCAACCCTTTTATTTTCTTTTTGAGACAGGGTTTGGCTAAGCGTGGCCTTGAACTTGCAACCCTCTTGCCAAAGCTTCCAGAGTCCTGGGGCTACAGGTGTGGCCCCTGTGCCCAGCACATGCATCCTATTTTGTGAGGTATTTGCCCAGGCTCTGTGGCTGTTCTACCAGGCTTCCTTTATCATAGAGTTGGAGGAGTTCTGTACATATTCTGACTACAAGACTGTCACCAGATATATTTATTGCTAATATTTCTCTTGGCTTTTGACTTTCTTTTCATTTCCTTTATGACATCTTCGAATGAACTATTTCTAATTTTTTTCTATTTCATTTAAAAATTTTGTTCTAACTAGTTATACATAACAACAGAATGCATTTTGACACATTGTACACAAATGGAGCATAACTTCTCCTTCCGCTGGCTGTACATGGTACAGAGCTACACAATAGTGTAATCATACAGGTATATTGGGTAATAATGTCCATCTCATTTCACCTGTCCTTCCCATCCCCACCCCTGATCTTGCACAATCCAAAGTTCCTTCATTCTTTCCTACCCACCCCCCCTTATAATTTTTTATAAATTGTGATTTTTTTCCAGTTTTTGTATGGTTATTACTTCTGGGTATTCTGAGAGGTTTTGCTTATCCTAGGGTCATAAAGGAATTCTGTTTTTCCTTTTAAAAGATTTGCAATTCCAGATTGTCCGTGTAGGACTTTGATCTACCTCAAATTCATTTCTGTGTGTGGTGTGAGGCAGGAGTTGGTCTCTACTACATGCTGTCTGCCAGGACCTCCCTTCCCTGTGGCGCTGAGAGGCACCTGCTGGGCCCTGTGTGGGGGCTGCGCTGTTGCAGAGCCTGTTTTGTCCTCAGTGGCAGCACTGCAGTCTTAGTGAGATGGCTTCGTGGTCAATTTTGACTGGTTTGGATAGGAATGCACCCAGTCTGTGGGTCACTCTGGGGAGAAAGGCAACTGTGCAGGGTGGACTCCCACTGGCAGGCACGTCTCCCTCACCCAGGCCTCAGTGTGGAGGCCAGGCTGTCATGGGTAAGTGCACTTCTAACTTTTCTTTAGAACTACTCTAAGTGTGTTTTTTGGATTCTGCTTTCAGACTGGTCATTTCAGCACACAGGATGCAGCTCGGCTGGACTTGCACCTCACAGCTGCTCGACTCCCTTGTTCTGGGACCTTTTTTGTGGAAGTTTTTGGATTCTGTGCCTGCAATTGTTATCTGGGAATGAGCACTGGTCCTCCTCCTCTCCAGCCATGTACACGTGCTCAGATTCCTCCCCTTTCCTTCTGCCCTGGCCAGAGCCTCCAGTGCAGGACTGATGGACGTGGGAGCGTCTTTGCTAGCCTCGGGGTGTGCTTGGTTGTCACTTGGCATGATCCAGGCTGTAGACCGTGGCGGTCTTGCTGAATCCAAGGAAACCCCTCTGCTCTCAGTTTTTGTCACAAATGGTGGCACCCAGGGTCTGGTGAGGTGATTGTGTCTTCCTCTCTATCCTATTAAAGTATGAATCACACTTATTTTTCAAATAAAAGCCAACCCCAAGTCCCTGCAGTGGGTGGGTCTGGCTGTGCCAGGCTCAGTCTGCAGGGCAAGTCCCTCTGCATCTACACAGCTGGGAGGAGCAGACTTCCCTCAGTACCACATGCTTTGCTGCCGTCCCAGGTCACAGAAGGAAGGGCTCTTTTCCTGCTCTCTGAAAAGTTTGATGTAAAATTTGCATTCTTTCTTCCTTATATGTATAGTAAAATTTACTAGTATAACCATTTAGATATGAAATATGAAATTTATTTATTTGATTGATTGTAGTCCTAGGGATTGAACCCAGGGGCACTCTATCACTGAGCTATACCCCAGCCCTTTTGATTTTAATTTGAGAAAGGATCCCACTAAGTTTCCCAGACTAGCCTCAAACTTGCAATGCTCTGCCTCAGCCTCCTGAGTTGCTGGGGTTACAGGCATGTGTCCTGCTGAACATGAAATTTTCACTGTGGGTATTTACAAGTTAAATATCCCATTTCTTTAGTATTTACACTACTTTTCAGATTCTCTGTTTTACTTTTGGGTTTTGTAGGTGATGCTTTTCTTGGGTCGGGCCCCCTTCATCTGAGTTTTCCCACTGTGAAGCTTCCCAGTCGCTTCTCCTCAACCACAGCACCTGTGGGATGCACCTTTGCTCTTCCTGACGGCATTGCTGCCCTCCCTCATCTCCCTTTCCCCCTCATCTCCCACTGATTGTCCTTTCTAAGCACTCACTTCTGGTTTTGTTGACATCTTTATTGTGTGTTTGGATTTTAGTTAATTTCTGCTCTTATCTGTATTATTTCTTTGATTTCACTCTTTTATTTAAATTATTCTCTTTTCCTACCTTATGGGCCAGCAGACATTGTCATAAAGGAACAGATGGTAAGTGTATGGTCTTTGTCATAATCACAAAAGTATGAAGGATCGAGCTCTTTTTACTGCACCTCTGATGGCAAGGTGTCTTTCCTTTTCTTTTGCCATGCTGGGGATTGCAGCCAGGGCTTTGTGCATTGTAGGCAGGTGCTCCATCATGGAGCCACATCCCGAAACCCTTGTCTTATTTTTCCCCCTCAGTCTGGTATGAAGATGGTTTTTGTTGCTTTGGGTTTTCAACAGTGCAGGCACAGTTATCTTTGGATTTGAGCCTAGGGTTTATGATGCTCTTTGAATGTGAGTCTTTTTTTTAAATATCTTTTCAGTTGTTGATAGACCTTTATTTTATTTACTTATATGTGGTGCTGAGAATTGAACCCAGTGCCTCACACATGCCAGGCAAGTGCGCTACCACTGAGCCCCTGCCCCAGCCCCTGAATGTGAGTCTTGATGCAGCCATCAGTTCTAAAACTGCCCAACCATCATCTCTTCAGATATTGCGCTGTCCCCACTTTCTTTGCTCTCTGGGCTTGAATTGCACATAAATTAGAACTTTGTGCCAGATCCTTTGCTTCTGAAGCTCCTGTGCCTGTTTTTTGAAGGAATAGTTTACACATCCCATCCTCTTGATGCTTTGTGAGCCAGTGGGCATTTTCTTCTGCTCCTCTTAACTGTCACATCATGCTCTTCAGCTGTGTCTAGTCTGCTATTGTTCAGTCACTGAGTTCTTCATTTCAGTTATTATAGTTTCTACTTCTAGAACCACCATTTGATTTAGTTTCTGATTCTATGTCCAAATTGTCAGTCATGCCCATCCTACACTCTTTTTGTAGTTGTACTTGAGTATTTAATTTTCACATGTGTTCATTTTTGCCCTTTCTGAGTGCACACTTAAGGACACTCGTGTGGCTGTGCAGCTGTCAGCACCATCCAGCACACTTTTATCCCACCAACAGACTCAGCCCAGAAGCACCAGCTTCCGTTGCCCTCTCCCCTCATCTCCTGGTTCGTCTCCATGCAGCTGCCTATTCCAGGTCCCTCATGTGTGTGGCAGCATGCACCCCTTGTCCCTGTGGTCTCCTTCTCACCAGCCGCACCAGCTCACATGCTACAAATGCACTTCCTGCCTTTTGTTCTCCACTGTAGTAGTTCCCATCTTTGGCTCTTGGGGGGGCTTCAAGCACCATCATTCTAAAACCCAGTGCCTGATACTTCGGTTGTCTGGGCTCCCTCTGGGCCACTTCTGTTGTTTGTGTTTCCTCATGGTTTGTGACCAGGTAGTTTATCTCTTCATGTGGCTAGTAGACTTCCTGTATGGAAATAGCAGTGACAAGTGCAGGCTCTGGGTGACAAATCCAGCCAGGGCTGGAAGTGATCAGAAGCTGGCTTCCTGGCCTCTGGGAGGGCTGGTCCATTTCCAGCTTGCTCTGATTCCTGGGTTGGCCCTCGGGGTGCTTTTCAGGACCTCTCATTTCCAGGGGGCCCTCAACTCCACCTTTCCTCACCCCTGAGACTGGCAAGAGTCCTGTTCCACTTTACCATCTCTGCAGTGCCCTCCTTGCTGGCGTGGCAAGTGTCTGCAGGTGAAGAGGCCACATACCGGCTCTCCTGTAACCTGTCCTCCCTCATCCCATCCCCACCATCTCCTTGGGGGTCTTAAATTACCTCCAGCCTCCCTCTCTGCATTAGCATCATTGCCCATCTATATGACCTGTGCAAGAGTAGGGACAAGGAGGAGTGGGTGGGTTGCAAGCAGCCACCTCTGGTCCTCTCTGGGACATAGCAGGGCTGAACTGGTGATGGCACTTACTTCCTTTCTATGCTCCTGGCTGTGAAGAGGCTGCGCCCAGGTGGGCATCCTCAGGGCCCTGGCAGAGTACAGCATCCCCGTGGACATGGTTGGAGGGACATCCATTGGGGCCTTCATGGGTGCCCTGTACTCTGAAGAGAGGAACTACAGCCAGATGAGGATTCAGGCCAAGCAGTGGGCTGAGGTAAGTGGGTACCTTTCCCAAACCAGGTCTCTAGGAAACAACCCCACAGGTTTGAGGGACAAAGGAAGAGTGTAGGAAAGGACATTGCTGCTGTGGGAAGGGACAGCAAGGAAAGGCTTCTGCCACTGGAGGGAGAGCGGGTATTGCCCACAGTCCCTGAAGAAAAGAGGCACAGCCCACCACACAGGGCAGAGTGGGGCAGGAGGACACTGGGGCCACTCAGGAGCAGAAAGGAACAAAGTGGCCCAGGCCTGGTTTCTATAGCACAGGCAGGTGAGCTGCTTAGGACAATTAGGGGGTCATTCCAGCGGCCCTGGGGGCTTAGTACCTGGATCTGGGTGATTTAGGGCAGGGGAGTTGGTGTGAGTCTGATGAAGGAGAGGCCAGGCATGAGCTCTGCCCAGCAGAGAGACATAAGCAGCTCCAGCCTTGAGTCTGGCCTTGTTTTAAATGGGCACCAGAATCAAAATACCCAATGTAGAGTCAGAGGAAGCAGAATAGGCTCCCCAGCTCAAGCTCTGCAGTGGGTTGGCTCTGCGGTTCTCTGCTGTTATGCCTCTTCTTTCAAGACAGTTAAGCCCTATTGAAGCCATGTGTGGGATCAAAACTGTGGTCTTCTTTCTAAAAGGGAAGAAAACTGTCCATCTTTCAGGCATAAGCTCTTGGACTAGGTCATCTGCTGTGTTCACGAGTCCTGGGGATGCCACTGTCCCCACCACCAGGCCCCCAAGGACCCTGCTGTGGGGCTCCCCATTCAAGAAATGGTTCTTCCCTGAAATAAGTTCCCCAGTCACTCCTCAAACGCCACTCAAAAGAGATAGCAACGATTACTAGGGATGGCTCCAAGAGCACTGACCACAGGACATTGTGTGCAGTGGGCAGAAGATAACTTAGCAAGGGTCTAGTCCCTTGGCTGGGAGACAGGCTCAAGCCCGCAGGAAATCCTTTCCATTCCCTCCCTCTGCAAGTCTGGTACTGGAGACCAGGTATGGGAATGGTTCTTCCACCATCCTGAGGGTATGCTGGTCTGTGGAACCCTGCCAGGGCTGCCACCCTACAGGGAGCCATCTCTGGGCAGGGTGGGATAGAGCCATGTGCCCACCTGCACTATAATGAGGAGATGGGGTGGCAGTGGGACTTCCTCAGGAGTGGACCCAGGTCTTGGGCACAGTCCCAAGCAGTCCCGGACCAGGTCCTTGTCCAGGAGCTCCAGCTCTCTTGCTTGCCTTAAAGGACAGTCTTCATGTGATGATATGAGCACAGGGGCTTCTGCATGCTAGTCAGGCCCTGGACTCATCCTGTCACGTCTGAAGCAGGCACCCTGCACACAGCAGCAGGGAGGGCCTTTTACTCCCTCCCTGGCCCTAGGTCAAAGGCTGGCCTCGAGACCAGGTGCTCTCCAGTGAGGCCAGTCACAGTAGTGCTCAGTGCTTTGGCCCCACCCAGAGAGCCACCAGCAGAGCAAGGGCGAGGGTGGGATCAGCTCCCATATCTCACTGGTCATATGCCATTTCTGGGGATCTCGGTGAGATAAGCAGTTGGGCCTGAGCTCTTCCTGCCATTGCCCATTTCACCTGGTGCTCCCACACTGCAGGCAGACCTGGAGCCCAGGGAACAAGTGTGCTGTGAAGCCCCCAAGGACCAGGTTGGCAAAGCCTGCCTGTGGCCAGGAAGGGCCAGAGGAAATGGGGCTGGTTCCCAGATTCTCTACTACTCCATGCCCACAGTATTGCTTCCCCAAGAATCCAGGCAGCCTGGGTCTGAGGACATGCCTGGACACCCATGTTCTGTTGCTGGAAGTACACTTGTGTGCCCATATCCTGCTCCAGAGAGGGTCCTGCAGACCTAGGCGTGAGCCCCTCTGCAGAGACCTTCATGTTCCCAGGACATGACATCAGTGGTGAAAACCATTCTGGACCTGACCTACCCAATCACATCCATGTTCTCTGGAGCAGGCTTCAACAGCAGCATCTGCAGCATCTTCAGGGACCGGCAGATTGAGGTGCTTCCCCAGGGATGACCTGGAGCCATGCCACTCTTGGCTGGCACTGGTCGTTCACCCTCAGTGCCCTCCTCTTCCTCCTAACATGGGTAGGGCATCCCTGAGGTCCCCTGAGCCCTGTACTCCCCACAGGACCTGTGGCTCCCCTACTTCGCTGTTACCACCGACATCACAGCCTCTGCCATGCGGGTCCACACAGATGGTGAGTGCCATCTCTAGATCAGGGAGTTGCAGGGCCAGCCCAAGTGGGTCAGTGGCCCAGGGGAGCAGGCAGCCATGGGAGCATGGGCAAGAGGAGAGCCAGCAGCTCTGTGTGGTCACCAAGGAGACGAGGTGCAGGCAGGTCTGCACAGGGAGGGCACCTTGGACAGGAGGGGCAGGGCAGGTGGCAATCAGGGTGTCCAGGTGACAGAAGGGCCCTATAGGGAAGAGTGAGGGATGGTCACACTTGGGCACAGGGAGCTTAGGGCCCAGTAGCTATTGGGAGAGCCAGACAGAGTGATATATCCACAGAGACCCAGAGGAAGACCTCAGTTCTGTATCCTCCTGGACCCTCACTGCCTACCCTTTTTGTTGCAAGTCCCTTCAGGGATGAGGGGGGTCTATCTGCTGACCCTTGACCCCTGGAGATGGGGACTTGTGGGCTTGTGACCCATCCAAGGGGAAGTCCAGGACAGGAACCTATAGTGGGTGGCAAAAGGCTCCTCCCTGACCCCTCCCCCACTAGACCCTCTTGGCTCCCTAGGCTCTCTGTGGCGGTATGTGCGTGCCAGCATGTCCCTGTCAGGTTACATGCCGCCCCTCTGCGACCCCAAGGACGGACACCTGTTGATGGATGGAGGCTATATCAACAACCTCCCAGGTACTGCAGAGGGCTGAGGCTCCTGCCCGCTGGCACTCAGCAACTCGGTCACTCATTCTGCTCATGGCTGTCTGCCAAGGCCGCCTCCACGCCAGGAAGGCTGGGGTGGCACACGTTTTCCTTGGAGTATGCCAAAGGAGAATGTCAGGCTGGCGTCAGAGTCCTGAGAACACACAAGTTTGTGCACAGGCACACGCATGCACGGTGTGTTCCCAGCATATGGACCTGCCTGTAGCTCAGCAGTGCACGGGACAATGGCCAGGCAGACACACCAAGAGCAATTAAGACCCATCTGCACCCACAGCCAGGCGCTAATGGCCTTCAGGTATTGACTGTGCTGGGCAGGCTCCACCTGCCACCTGTTAGACATGTGCTCAGAAGGGCCCCCGACCTAGTTTGGCTGCCATGAAGTTGAGGCACACAGGCTTCCTGTCTCCACAGGCCTAGTTGTGAGCAGCACTTCCTTAGGGCTTAGTGAAGCGGGGTCTGGCCCTGTCCCACTGGTTTCTGGGGTATCCCCTTGTGCGCTGGCCCAGGTGGTGACCATAGTTGCCTCCTCTTCCCCAGCGGATGTGGCCCGATCCATGGGGGCAAAGGTGGTGATCGCCATCGACGTGGGCAGCCGGGATGAGACAGACCTCACCAACTATGGCGATGCGCTCTCTGGGTGGTGGCTGCTGTGGAAACGGTGGAACCCCCTGGCCACCAAAGTCAAGGTGGGGTGGTGCCAGGTAGCTTCTAAGCCTATGCCCTCCACCTATGAGCAGGCTGTGGAATACCTCCCAGGCTGAATCCTGCAGGCCTGTGTCACTCCCACCCCTGCCCAGGCCCTGGGGCCAATCCTGGGGAAGCCCGCCAGAACACACTTCCAGGCCAGCTCAGGACCTGGCCTGGGCCTGGGCCAGAAAGGACTGGGAGGAAGGCACCGGGGCAGGAGTCTTGGGCATGACTCTGCAGGTGCTGAACATGGCTGAGATTCAGACGCGCCTGGCCTATGTTTGCTGCGTCCGGCAGCTGGAGATGGTGAAGAACAGTGACTATTGCGAGTGCCTGCGGCCCCCCATCGACAGGTATCGCACCCTGGACTTCGGCAAGTTTGATGAGATCTGTGTAAGTGTCAGCCACTGGCCACAGAAACAGTGTCAGTGGGGGCAAGTTCTGGTGGTTGTTCCCTCCCCAGCCTCCTGAGAGCACGGGAAGTGGGGGCTCCTGTACCTCATAACAGGGTCCACTGTGTGTGCAGGAAGTAGGTTACCAACACGGGCGGACAGTGTTTGACCTCTGGGCTCGAAGTGGAGTGCTAGAGAAGATGCTGCAGGACAGGCAGGGGCCAAGCAAGAGGAAGGCCTGTGCGGTGAGAGGGCAGGGGTCTCCCTATGGGAAGAGGGCAAGGGGGGGTCTGGCAGGGAAGAGCTGGCAGAGTGCCTGGGGTGGGCCCACACTGTCCCTCCAGGGCAGCTGTGTGGTAGGCATGTGTGCCAGGCAGGTGGCTATCCGGTGCCTTATACTCCAGATCCCCACTTGCCCCAATGCCTCCTTCACGGACCTTGCTGAGATCGTGTCCCGCATTGAGCCTGCCAAGATGGCCACAGTGGATGGTGAGTTGGTCACCCAGGCGGTGGGCCTACACAACAGAGGGTGGCCTGCTGACACTGTATGGGATAGAGTAAGGCTGGCTGGGCCTCAGCACCCCCACAGGTCTCCACCCCTGCCCTCACGTAGTTACACACCATTCTCTTAAGACTCCAAGAGCTTCTGGCTGGCAGAGGGTCCCCACAGTAATGAGACAGGTCCCCCGCCAGGCTTCCCAGGCCTCTCCCACACCTGCCCCATACCTCAGCAGGGAGGGCTGGCCTGGGTGGAGCCACTAAGCCAGAGGGTGGGCCCAGCATTCACCATCCTCCAGTCTAGGCCCTGCACTTGGGGCTGGAGGCTGAGGGCTAGAGGCTGGGGGCCAGCTGCTTTACTTGTAGCAGAACAGCATGCTTTTTCTTGAAGGGGGACTGGAGAGGCCCTTGTGGCTATGAGGATCAGAAAGCCCCAGGCTCTAAGCTGCCTGTATTCTGGCTGAAGCCTTTGCTCATGAGGCTAAGCGAGGGCCCAGGCTTCTCATGAGTAGCTTGCCGGGTTGACAGTGGGTGAAGAGCTCTTTGTGGAAGACCCTTCAAGTGTTGGGTTGGAGCTGCAAATAAAGCCAGGTGTATACACAGGGCCTGATCTGCAGCAGCTCCCTCTGGAAGATGTATGGTGGGTGTCTGCATGCGCACCTTTGCCTCTGAGTAAAGGCTAGGTTGTATGACCAGATTCTGCCTGAGTTTCAGCTGTGGCAGACAAAGCCCCTGTCCTTAGGAAGGGGACCAATGAGGCCCTCCTCTCTGCTCCAGACGAATCTGACTACCAGACTGAATATGAGGAGGAGCTGCTAGAAATCCCCAAGGACACATACGCGGACTTCCAGAGCACCCAGGCAGAGCTGGGCTCTGACTCGGTGAGAGGCTGGCTGGGTCCTTCTAGTGCCCCTTTGGCTGGGCCTGTTCTCAAGGCCCCAGGCAGGGGCCCGCCTTAGAGTCCTGGCTCTGGATTTGCTGCCCACACAGGTGATGTGGCCCAGGATCAACCCTCCTGGGTGGCAGCCCACGGGTTTGCACCCTGACTGAGTAGTTTGCTTCCAGGAGGGAGAGCCCATGCTGCAGCATCCGCACCCTGGCCTGGCTTCCCCAGAACAACCCCAGGACAATTCATCTTCCTGGCTCCCTGGCCAGACTGGAGAGAAGCCGCTGCTCTGATGCTCCCCAGAATCCAGCATCTCCTGGGAGCCTGACCTCAAGACTGAGGCTCCACCCGCTCCTGGGAGGCCACTTTACCCACCTGACAAGAGAAGCCTCAGCCAGCTGGCCAGCGTGTCAAGTCTTTACCCCCCAGCCTGGGCTCTTTTCTGCACCCTCTGTGCCTCTTTTCTGTACTGGCACCCCTGCACCCCTGGGGAGATGAGCCAGCCTCCCGCCATCCCCCATGAAGTCTCTGTGAGGTGTGGGAACCCCAGATTGGCATGTTAATAAAGGTAGATCTGATTGTGTGGATTTGTCTCTAGGTGCCAAAGTCCCTGTGGCAGAGAAACACCAAGATGGGCCTGATTCCATCAGGAGGGGGCGGTAGGGGAGGATGAGCCGTGCTCAAAGGACAGCAGTTTCCAGGCTGGCCAGGCAGGCAGGTCGCTCAGGGTTTGAATGGAACTGGGGTCCCCCAAAACGAAAGTGAAATCCCTCAGGCCCTTTAGGCCTTGTTCACCCCTAGAACACACGGTGGCCAAGTCGGGGCGTGGAGAGGACCGCCAGGCCCTACAGAGGACTAGAGTAGGACTCCAGGTGCCAGGCTTCCAGGCTCCGAAGACCCCGCCCAGGTCTCGTGACGCATACGGGCGGAGCCGGGCATGGTCCTGCCCCGCCTGACGTCACTGGGCGGAGCCTCCGCCCCGGTTCCGCAGCTCTCTCTCCGGGTCGGCGGGACGCGCGGAGTGTCCGGCGCGGCCATGCGGGGCCCGGGCCCAAGCGCCTGCGCGACCCTGAGCCCGACCCCAGGCGCAAGCGCGACCCCCGGCGCGGCGCGGCTCCCCCGGCGGAGGCGGCGGGCGCGGGGCGCGCTCTGAGGCCCGGGGGATGCGCCGCCGCCGCGACCATGGGCGCCGCCGCCTCCAGGAGGAGGGCGCTGAGGAGCGAGGCCATGTCCTCGGTGGCGGCCAAAGTGCGGTGAGTGCGCCGGCCAGGCCGGACCCCGGAGGTTCAGCCCCTCCCACGCGGTCTCTTGGGCAGCGCGGGCCGGTGCGCCCAGGTTCCGGGTGGGCCTCGGGTTCACGACTGACAGCATGCAGATGCGTGGCAGTGACCCTCGGTGGCGGAGCCGAGCGCCCGCCCCCTTGGCGATGGAGGGCCTAAGTGGGGGGTGGGAGCATCGTGTTTGCTTGAGAGGGTCTTGCGAACTGCCAGAGTTGAGAATGGGCCTAAGGGCACTGACCTTGCCCACTCTGCTCACCCTGCAGAGCAGCCCGAGCATTTGGAGAGTACCTGTCCCAGAGTCACCCTGAGAACCGCAACGGTGCAGGTAGGGGGTTTGTGAGGCAGTGCCAGCAGAGAGCCCGAGGTCCCCTGCCTAGGCCAAGCCCTGCTCCACTGGATGAAGTGTGAGGGGGCCCAGTTGTCTTGCTGGGCTGGCTTCCTCACATCCCCTGCCCTCCCTGGCCCAGAGCCCCAGGAGGAGCTCTGATCACTCATCACCATGACACCCACCCAGCCTGGGCCGTTGGCATGGCAACAGGCCTCCTGGCACCCCCAGGGTTGGCACCACTGTCTCCTGGGGCCAGCTGGTGGGGGGGAGGGGAGAAGTTGGCACCCTGCAAACTACTGCAGGCAGGAGGGGGGGATGCTTGTTCCTATCCCCCAGGATCAGGCACAGGTAGCAAGGCCTGTCACCGCCCCCCCACCCCCACCCCCCCACAAAAGCTTCAGACCTAGATAGGAGGAGAGGGAGGCTTGTAAACACCTATTCTGAAGGCAGCAGGGACCGGGTTCCAGCAGCCAGAGCCCCCTACATCAGGTCAGGTGCCTGCTGGGTGTTCCTTGCCTTTGGCATGCCGGGAGACTAGAGCAGGCTGCGTGCTCACTCGTTGCCTCTCCCCTAGATCACCTGCTGGCTGATGCCTACTCTGGCCACGACGGATCCCCCGAGATGCAGCCAGCCCCCCAGAACAAGCGCCGCCTCTCCCTGGTCTCCAATGGCCGCTTTGAGGGTAGCCTCTCAGATGATGCTGGTGGTGGGAAGCCAGCTGTTGAGGGCCCCCAGCCCCGAGTGTACACCATCTCTGGGGAGCCAGCCCTGCTGCCTGGCCCTGAGGCCGAGGCCATCGAGCTGGCAGTGGTGAAGGGGCGGCGGCAGCGGCACCCTCACCACCATAGCCAGCCCCTGCGTGCCAGCCCTGGCAGCAGCCGTGAGGACCTCAGCAGGCCCTGCCAGAGCTGGGCAGGCAGCCGACAGGGCTCCAAAGAGTGTCCTGGATGTGCCCAACCTGCCCCTGGGCCCTCCCCTCAAGCCTTTGGGCTAGACCAGCCGCCTCTGCCTGAGGCTTCTGGCCGTCGCAAGAAACTGGAGAGGATGTACAGCGTGGATCGAGTATCTGGTGAGGGGCTCCTCAGCACCTGCAGATGTAGATGGCATGCTCTGTGAGGCTGGTAACAGGTGGAGGCTGCCTGGGTCACATCCTGCAGGCAGACTCAATGAAGCCCTTGGGCTCATGCCACCACCTGCATGCCCTGTGGGCTGTGGCCTGTGGCCTGCCTCACTTCCTCTGCAAAGCTCTTTTAGGCCCATGGTAGGCTTTGCCCTCCCAGGACTGGGTCAGTCAAGAAGTGCTTCCTAGAGGAGGGCACCTGGGAGGATATTGAGGAATGAGCAGGCAGAAAGCATGACTTAATTGCAAGGTCAGGCTGTCTTCAGGAAGTCCTGGGAAAGTGTCTGGTGCCCAGGACTGTCAACCTTTGTGGGGGCTGGGGAACCCCAGAGGCTTACTACATGTAGAAGCTCTCTACACCACAGAGTAGCCTCTGTGGGACATGTCTGGGCTTTAAGGAAGGCCTGTAAGGGCCTCCTGCTCACTCTCTAAGGGGCAAGTCTGACCAGATTGATGTCCGAGAAGGCCCTGGGAGATTCTTTCTCTGAGCACCCTTGGAGTCAAACTGCTTTTAGAGGAATGCCTCTCAAACCTGGGGCAGCCAGAAAGAGAGTACGCAGAGAAAGCCTCAAGCCACTGAATTTCTGAGTGTGAACAGCTGGGCAGAACCTAGTGTGGGGATTATTCCCATCTGGGAGAGAGCTGGGTGCCCATTGGCCAGTGTGGGGCCAGGCTGCAGGCCTGCTTGTGCCAGCACAGCTCCTTCTCCCTCTTCCAGATGATGTCCCCATCCGTACCTGGTTCCCCAAGGAAAACCTTTTCAGCTTCCAGACAGCAACCACAACTATGCAAGCGTGAGTTGTATGTGTGGTGCAAGAGTCAAGGGCCAGGTCACCTCTCCTTGGTGCTCAGGAAATACTGATCCCCTTTGCTAGCCTCTGGGCCCAGCTGGAGGGCTGCTATTGAACAGCTGCACCATGCTGTGCAAGGTCTGCCAGCAAGCTGGGCTGAGGCTTCAGTGTCCCAGGGTGCAGGGTGGCTGCTCCCCCAACTCCATAGCTCATGTCCAACTCCCACCCGCCCTGCCCATTCCTTGCCTCCACTCCCTCAGGACCCCCACCAACCCTGTAGTCTGTCCTCTTGGGACCTGGCCCAGGGCTGCACTGCTGCTGCAGTCTCAGGTGTGGGTGGGGTGGTTCTCTTGGCCCCCACGCACCCAGATGGTAGCCTCCTCTGTCTCCAGTGAGACACAGGTGATTGTCACCCAGGGGTCTGCTCTTCTTTACCTGATATACATCTGGGTTTCCCTTCCTGTGGGTCCCTTTGCTACAGGGGCCCCCACCCCATCTCCACCCTCCAGCTATTGTCCAAGGCAGGGCACCGTCAGTCCTCTGCAAGACCCACCCCCAACCTAGCTTGACTGGGGCTCAGTGCCTGGTGGTGTAGGCCCAGTGGCCTCAGCTTCCACTGCCTTTTCAGGCTGGCCCACAGCCCAGCTGGTATCCTGCTGGTGCTTGTGAGGGACCTTCCCAATTGGTGACAGGAAGGGAACAAACTTCAGGGGCCCTGGGGCTGAGGGAAGCCAGGTCCAGGCTCACCGTGTCTTCTCTCTCATGCTGCCCCTTCCTGCTGTGGCTTCAGCATCTCGTAAGTACCCCCATACAACTTGTACCTAAGGGCACAGTGGTTGTCCTGGGGGGACCCTCCCACCCTCAAGTAGGTTTGTACAGGCCAGGGACCTGAGCCTTGACAGTGAGAGTGCTGAGCCCCGTGGGCCCAGCTTCCAGTGGTCTCCAGGGCCACCGCAGGGCCTACTGGGAACTGGGCCTTGGATGCCCCTGCTGGGCCCTCTGCTTGCGCCTGTGTCCCCACGTCTGTGTCCCTCCTGCCTCTGGCCAAGGGCAGTGCTGACTCGCGGTGGTTTCCCAGGGTGTTCAGGGGCTACGCGGAGAGGAAGCGCCGGAAACGGGAGAATGATTCCGCGTCTGTAATCCAGAGGTAGGGCCTGCCAGCCACTCGCCACCAGGGTCTGTCTCTGGTCACACTGGCCTGGCCTGGGCCCTCCCCGCCCTGGCAGACCTGATGGGGGAAGGGTGGTGGCGACCACTGGCCTGGCCCTGCTCTGGGGACGTGACAGGCAGGAGGGGCCTCAGGGCGTGGGTTGTGTTTCAGCCGCTGGATCTCCATTTTGAGGGTACATTGACCGTTGGCCTGCGTCCATCTGTCTGGTTCCAAAGCCAGAACTGAGGGTCCAGTGGCAAGGCCTTCCCCCTGTTCTACCAGCATCAGAGATGTTAGCTTGTCTGTCCATCTGAACACTGTGTTTGGGGGAAGAGAGGACCACCCTCCTCCAGGCGGGGAGGGCACCTGCAGACCCCAGACTGACTTGGAGATGGTACAGACAGGATCACCTGGTTGCTGTGCAGGAGGCTAGGCCTCTCCACCCCCTGGGAAAGGCAGCCTAGTAGGGTTCAGGTGGGCATGGGTCCAGGAAGAGGATGTCAGGAATAGTCAATAGTAAAGGGGGAGCCTGGGAGCCAGCAGAACTGGCACAAAAAAAAAGGTGGGGGCTTGCTCCGGATGCAGGCACCCTTCTTCTGGGGCAAAGGGGTAGCCTAGGAAGGTCTCAGGAGGAGGCCATGTGGGATTTATCTTTGCATGAGCAGTCTGTGTGAGAGGCTGGAACCAGGGAGAGCTCAAGGCTGCAAGGAGGGCATTTGGTCCAGGCAAAAGTGGAAGCCTAGTGAACTCAGCTGGGTGGGCTGACCTCAGGGCTGGGTGGGTCAGGGCCATTGCCCACCCGACTTATGGCCCTAAGCGCCCCCTGCATCCTTATCCCCCCCCTCAGGAATTTCCGCAAACACCTGCGCATGGTCGGCAGTCGGCGGGTGAAGGCCCAGAGTAAGATCCCGGGCTA